AACCCAAGTAATATTCTTCCGCTGTTCCTCGGTCTGTCCGTCTGTCATAGGGTTGTTTATCATGAATAGTAATAGATAGATAGATTGTCGAAATCTTCACTTCATTTGGAGCTAGACAAAAAAATAATACAAACATCTACGTTTCTTGCTGGATTTTAAGAAATAAACAGCATTTTATTAGTTTAACCTTGTTCGACGGTACAGCCGGTTTATTATTATTATAAAAAAATAATGTCAATAAAGAGGTTTCTGTCTACTCTAATAATGACTGATATAATCAATAGTATTTTCCTCTATCTAGCTGTGCGGTCTACGTGACAAAATGCGTAATACGAGTATCGGACCAGACTATGAAATAAAATTATTGTTGAGACGCGGCGCTGACGGCTGAGAATACAAGTCAAGCGCTTCATTATCTGGCTATAGGCAGTGTCGAATAATTTAAAACTAATTTAGATTAATTAACAAGCAAGTTTTAATATTATTTTTACTAACCCATTCATAAAGTCACAATCCTGAAAATTATGACAACTCCTACTATGTCATTACCTTACTACAGTTGATAAAAGATGTTGCCAATTATTTACAGTCATCAATTTCGCATTTTCTTAGAATCTTTCTTACCATTTCTCTGATTAACTCTTCATAAAAAGTGTTTTTAATGCAAAAATAAATACCAATAGTTTGTTATCGTCGGCCTGACAGGAAATCTGTGAAATTTTATTTTGTTCATTTGCATAAATTAAAGGATTAATTATCATACAGCCTTATGTCAAGCCTGATCAGAATAATAAAATCTTTTGTTTTAGGCCTTCACTGATTTGTTTTGATAAAAAATAGGGCCAAATATGTCATAGTTTGAAGGAGTTTATAAATAATATTGTTTATTTAGATATACTTACACAAATATTTTTTGTGTACATTTATTGTTCATTTATTTTGCAAAACGGAACATTTTGCTTTTTAAAGAGACATGAAGTTAATTTTTATACTTTTAAATATTTGATTATTTCACGAAAGTTGTATGAGAATAATAAACACGAAATAATTAATAGAAAAATACTGTAAAGTTACTGGCTAGTGCGAAATATTTATACACGTTAGGAGCAGTTTCTTAGCTATGTCCTTTGCCCAGTATTTTACAATACCTGAATAGTTAAGTATTAACCATTTGGTAGGTGCCTAAGTTGTTTTTTAATACAGGCTTGGTTTTTAAAAACAATCCTTACCTTTCCAATGTTTGCATTTTGTTTACAGTAATTTATCATAAATAAATATTTCGATAAAACCCTAAGATAAGAAAAACATAACAAGAGAAATAAAATAAAAATAGCTGGTTACAAATAAAACTTTTACGTGTTTACATTTTTGTAAGTTTTTAATTGTAACGCAAATAAAACTATGATCTTTTCACACCACTAACATGGGTAAATCTTGAGGAACATAGATATATCACCCTTAAAGATTAAATAATGAGAAAAGAGTGTTTTCTACAAATTTGGAGTATTTTCGGTAGAAACGTCCACGACGTCTCCACTTTTCGAGGAGCGCGTACTTCAAACTGATGTAACACTCAAGTATCCTCGGACGTTTGACTGTAAAAGCTTATATGACACTCAAAAAGTGACATGGGACGTTTCGGAGGGTACAAAGCATGAGAAAAGGCATCATAGCTACTGTGGTGATTTGTATACGTGTACGTATTTTAAGTTTGTAGAGTTTTTTCAACATTTTTATATTTATCGCAAAAGCAAGGCAGTGTTTTTGTAAACAATCAACCCCGCAATCTCGCGGGGTACCGGGTTCGATCTCCGATCGGGTTAACTTATATTTTTTTTCTTCCTAGGTCTAGCTGATCATTTATTCGTAGTATGTTGCACAATATTTATTTAATGGATATCGTCTGATATGTTCATTACAATTTAAGTAGTAAAAAATATTTAATTTTGACCTAGAGAGTACAATTTTAACACAGGTGTTGTCTTTAAGAAATACCTAGTCATGATGGACTTTTATGTATTCACATTTTTGTAGATTTCACTTTTATCGCATGTGAACAGCACATTTGCTTTTATTTTTTAATCCAGTTGTATTATATAATTTTAATTCATCATCATCAGCCTATTAATGTCCCAAGTGCTAGGGCACAGGCCTTCCCTATCCCTTTATTATATTTCCCTGGATGGAATAAGGAGATTGGGCCATGACCCACCACGCGGGCCCAGTGCGGATTGGCGGGTGCTAAAGACTGCAGATGCAGCCGCGACCAACGGCTTAACGTGCCTTCCGAAGCAGAACTCGAGATAGATGTTTTTGGTCACCCTTCCAATGACCAACCACTGCGAAAGTTGCTTAACTTCAACCATTGCAGCCGAACGCGCTAACCACCTGCGCCATCGACCTCCTCCTTAATTTTAATTAATGACTATAAATTGCACATCAAATTCCAAGTCAGTTGTGATGTTTGTCAATTTCAAATAATAATGTTCTTTTCTAAAAGGCTTACTATAGTAATCTTTGTAATTAAAATTTATCCTTTTACAGTTCATGATATTTTTGGATGAAGGATTTGTCTAAGGCTATAAAGGCTCTCTGACAATTAAATTAACAAGCTTGTCAAAGTTATATGTTATCTTATTCTATTGATATAACAAAGAAAATGAGACTTTGATAAAAGAAAATGACAGAATCAACTTTGATAAAACCTAAAAATTCATTGAAGTCTCTGGGTGTGACTGTTAGATGTTTATTTTATAATAACTAAATGAATAGAAATTTATAAACATTTCTGTAACAAAAATTGACTATGATATGCATAAAATATATTTAGATATTAATGTTTTAATTATTCTAAAAATCTGTATAGGTAAATATGTAATATTCTTTGATTGCAAAATAAATTTTATTGTATCCAAAAAAAACAAAAATTAAGAAAACCTTTTTTATTTACTAACTCAGATTATTGTGCCTGCTCATGAATAACTGTTGACATGAAATAAGTAAGTTTCCATAATAATAATAAATTTAAAAATGTAATCAATATGTTATACAATAAATAAAGAGAATAATAATAAAACATTTAACAGTGTATTAAAATTTCCAACTAACAAAATGTCTTCTCTTCAAATGTTCACCATAAGAAGGTATTTACTTTGCAGAATTCAAAGTACTGACCATTTGTTTTGTAATAAAATAAAAATGTTGTTTTCAAAATACATAAAAAAAAAAATACACAGATTCATTGTGCTTGGTCTTGCATAATCTTCATTGTATTTTTCCTGCTCAATATGAATATAAAATATGTAAGTTAACATTTTTATAATAAAAGCAATTAAAATATTTTTAAGTGTAGCAACACGTCCAACAAAAAAATATAGGTATTCCCTTCATTATAAGTAATTATATTTCAGAATATAAAAGAACTGGGCATTTATTGTGTAACATTTATTTACTAATTTGATTATTGAAAACCAAAAACAATTAAATAAGTGTTACTCAATAATATGAAGTTTTTATTGTATTTCTACTAGAAGCATTAAACTGCATGAATTTTATATCAAACGAAAATTTTTCAATAAAAAATATTTGTAGGTAGTCATAAAACCTTAGGCATATTATCAAATTTTCTAACACACCAATAAGTTTCTAATAAGAATTGTTAAAAAAAAGTACAATAATTGTATAACTTACCAAGATTTCATGGTGCGTATGGTTCCCTCTGTGCACCCACTGCACATTGGAAGCCGAGAGGGCTACCAGCCCACGGCAGGGGAGGGTAACGTTAGTCCCTTTGTCTGCCGCCACTTCTCTCAATTCCACTTCCTCGGCAAGGGCCCAGGGTAAAGCTAAAAAAAATACTAACTTAATAAATAAACACAAAAAATACTACTAAGTACTTCAAACTTTAATGAGTCCTATTGTAATTTCATTACCTTTGATTCCAAGGCAGAATACAGGCAGTAATAAACGCTCGAATAACATTATACTTTTGCTTCATTTAGACACTTACAAAATAATTATTTGTAACCACTACCTAAATTTAAACAGATTTATTTCCTATCTAAGTATTAACATTACACAGAAATATTTAAACGACGGAAGGCGAAATAATAGGAAACACAATCTCACAACAAACGTCCGATCTACATTGATGAAAGGCATAGACTAAAAAAATAAATAAATGGAAATGTCATTTTCAATTTTCTAATGTTGCAAGATGAAAAAAAATGACAAAAAAATCATATAGTGGAAAAACAGTAAGTATCGATGTATCGATTTTATTAAACAACTGCAAGGATTTTCTTAATGGAATCGATACTGACATGATTCTCTAAACTTGAAACTAAACTAAAGATCAGTCTCTTCTTTTAATTCTATATAGAGAATTACAAGGATACAGTGTAGTCAAATTTAATTTTAAGTCTAGAGAATCATGCATAAATCGATACCAATATCTTTATAATATTTAAGTTCATCTGAAACTCAATATTATGGTTGATTTTATTTTATTGATTACATTGTTATTCACCGAAAGTAATCAAGAGTGTCATACCAGAAATACTTTATGTAAAAACTATAAAAGGTACCATATAAACTTTAACGAAAATAAATGTACATGAAGCAAAAGAAGTTATGGGTCCAATGTCCACAGGCTTCAGGCGTGCTTTAATCGGGCCATTCGTACACGGACAAGTTAGAAATCCTAGTTGGTCGCCAAGACAGTCCGTGAGTATTAGCTTATTTAAAGATAAAAATAAATAGAAAAATCATTGTAGGACTATCTGCAAGACTGAGTCTACCCCAAATCCCAAAGTAGGTGTCGATAACGTTCTGTCGTTGCGATCGACGATGGACAGTGCTAGAGACCATTGTAATGTGAACGTGAATGACCTCTTTTATAGAAACAGAAAAGTAATGTTGCCCCTTCAAAAAATTATATAACTTTGACATATGTCAAAATATTGTCTATGGTGAACAGGCATGACATAGACAAGAATATAGATTTTCTTTGGATGTGCTTTGGATATGGCCGCTGTATCGGCAATACAACATCTGCAATGTTTTGTAAATTCATTTTTATAAAATGAATGAAGTGTTTTTTACTTTAATGTAGTGATTAGTGGACTGTGCATAGTTCTGTGATAATTGTAATGGATGCAGAGAGCGAGTACGAAATAAAGAGGGCTCGTGATGCAATTCAAACGATAGAGACTATCCAGTCTATGATAGACGTTTCAGCAGATATTCTCGAGGGTTTGAGGACACAATGTTCAACGAGCGCGGAGCTTACACAGCAGGAAATCCGGACCCTGGAGGTACGGCTGTTGTAATATCACTAATACAGAATATCTGTTCGAACAACATGCAATGCCCTTGAGAATATTGAGAGAGCCAAGAGATTCAAGGACTTTCTGGCTCAAGGACTGTAATGTGTTTGTTGCCAACATAAAGGCCGTTCGCTACCTATTCTTGCTGACCTTGTGTTTTAACCTATTTTAATTTAAGAATATACTATCTAAAATTTTCCCTTCAAATATGTTAGGTGAAATTTGCACATATCACTCCATCGACATTCATTTACACTATTCTCATTTGATATTCAATTTAAATTCATTCAAATAGAAATTACATTTTATAGCAATTTACTTTAATTGGTCTTACCAGTATAGAACTATAATTATTGTAGTTTTTGTACCAGCATTTATTGACTTTCTCATTGCCATTTACATAAAATTAACATTCTCAATGTCAATGAATACACTATATATAGTCTTCAATTAATAACAATCAGGTATCAAGACAGATGTTCTTGTTTTTAAACATTCATTGAACTGAGTACTTTGCTAGAAAGTACAAGTTTTCTGTTGTAAACAGAGAAATTTATTGTTTTATATAGTAAAATTGTTACTACAGGTTGGTACCCCAGTAATGTTCCATTGTAACTAATAGTAATGATTAGGAAATATTTAGGTTAATATCTTATAATTTATTAAAAAAATGATCATTTGAATAAAATAAAAATCATTCATATTCCCAGAGAACTGTAGTAGTTACCTAGCCTCACAGAGCTCTAGCTCTCGGGCGTGAGCGTGCTTAGAGACGCTACTAAAGTTTGACCGAAGTGAACCACATTCGAGCTCTGTGACACACACCTTACACATTTTGGCCGTAGGTGAATATTGGCTACCATGAAATTAGTTATAAAATTGCAACAAATGTTTCGGTGATTTAAAAAATATATTAAATAAAAATGTTATAGCATCATTATACTGTTGATTTACCTACCTAGTAGTTATCCTCATTAACACTGGTACAGTCAGAGTGATTCAATGCAAATATTGTATACTCATGTGTTTGATTTTATTTATTATGTTTGATGCAAATCAGTCAAAACTTTGTTGCATTTATAATTTATTGTAATAATGACACATAATGCTTATTTATGATTCTTATGATAGTATTATATACCTAGTTATTCAATAATAACATCATTAATATTTCAGTCATAATGTATTTCTTTGCCATTTCTTGCCAGGTCTTAACATTTCTTCAATGTTTTCAACTCTCCTGTTAAAATTGACACAATTATTGTGACAAAAATTAAATAAACAATAAAATAACATTTTTAAAAATGTTTTATGGGTTCTATATGCAAAGGGACTTCCTAATGTCACGGGTCTCTAGATTATGAATAGAATGAATTACAGAACTGAGGTTTTTGTAATTTATGTAGAATGCTTGCTCAAAGCTGAGTTTTTTAGTGAAAAAACAAACAAACTCCCATACAACAGATGCTATTTTTTTTGTCGTTTTTTTTTTTGCTTGATATTAGGTATAATATGTCTTATTTTAATTTTGTAAGATATTCTATATTATTATATAGAGCGCGAGTCCGAGCTCTCATTGGCCAATTATTTTAGTGAGAACAATTTCATTAATTTCAAAATGTTTGTTACGTTTAAGGGCAAGCTGGTGAAACACTTCTCACGCCAGCTGTTCATAAAGGCCCGGTTCGGTGAGGAGTTGCAGCGCGAGCTGCGTCATGTGCCGTGTCTCGCGCAGTGGCTGAAAGTCGTGGGCCTCAGTCTGGAGGCGATTGAGGTACAGTACCCCACTTATTTGTTTAGAAAAAGCTTTTCAAATTTCACTCAATGCTTAGTGATTTACTATGATGATTCATGACAAGGATGCCATTTACATTCAAAATTTAGTTGTTACTTTATGCTAAGATTCTATTCAGAAATGGTTTTGGTTGAGTGGTTCACATATTGGTTAGTTTCTAATGATTAGGCTCTTTTGTCATTTGGGTCAACGAAAACTAATTTGTTAAGACTGATTTGTGTTGTTATCCATATATTTCCATAACACAACGCAATGCTATTAACACAGAAGTACACTAAAAACAGACCAAACCAGAAGATCATAATAGCATTGAGAAGAATCTATGGTTCTACTTTAGTTTAATCTGCAAATAAAACTCGAAACACCACAGACTCGAATTCGTATGTGCTTAACTTTATTTACAAACTAGCTTTCGCTCTTACCGACCACGAAATAATACTATGCGTCGTCGCAGGCGGTATGTTCGCGCGTGTGTTCGCTGGAGGAACTGCGCGAGCGATCCGACCATGAGCTGCGCGCGTTACTGGCGGGCGCGCGCGACGAGGAGGTGCGCCGCCTGTGCCGCGCCATGCACCGCCTCACCACCTACACCGGTAACTGCGCCATACAGCAACCAATCAGATGCATCGTCGCAGCCGGTATCCGACCGCGAGCTGCGCGCGTTACTGGCGGGCGCGCGCGACGAGGAGGTGCGCCGCCTGTGCCGCGCCATGCACCGCCTCACCACCTACACCGGTAACTGCGCCATACAGCAACCAATCAGATGCATCGTCGCAGGCGGTATCCGACCGCGAGCTGCGCGCGTTACTGGCGGGCGCGCGCGACGAGGAGGTGCGCCGCCTGTGCCGCGCCATGCACCGCCTCACCACCTACACCGGTAACTGCGCCATACAGCAACCAATCAGATGCATCGTCGCAGGCGGTATCCGACCGCGAGCTGCGCGCGTTACTGGCGGGCGCGCGCGACGAGGAGGTGCGCCGCCTGTGCCGCGCCATGCACCGCCTCACCACCTACACCGGTAACTGCGCCATACAGCAACCAATCAGATGCATCGTCGCAGGCGGTATCCGACCGCGAGCTGCGCGCGTTACTGGCGGGCGCGCGCGACGAGGAGGTGCGCCGCCTGTGCCGCGCCATGCACCGCCTCACCACCTACACACTGAACAGACTTTAGTTTATCTTAACAGAATTTATCTCGTCACACGACTTAGTTTTTATATAACAATTGTTATCCCATATAAACTGTAATTCACCACCTAAAAGTTTTTGAATTTATTTGCCATACAAAAAATTTATTCTTGTCTGAGTTGCCCTTTATCTCTTTACTAATATTTATTAAAATCAGTCCAAAGAATAACGTAAAAACGGGTATTAATGGGTCTTAAATGTAAATTTGTACAGGTGTCTAAGGCAAGGTTTAGTAAAAGGCATCATCTCCATCTATCTACTAATCCACCAAGTTCTCCACAATGACCTTATTCAAGAATGTATGAGTGTATAGCACGGGAATTTGATTTATCTATCTGTAACAATAGTAACAGTCTCACTGCCTACACTAACTAAGCATACAACACTTGGCAAAAATAGCTCTCAGCAATAAGGCCGCCAATTATAACGACGCTTTTGTTGTTTGTTAATGTTATGTAACTATGTATTTGGTGTTATAATAAAGTGTTAATCTATCTATCTAACACTACACCAGCCAACTTGATAATAACATCATCATCATCAACATAGGCTGATTAATGCTGGTTGACATTAATAGTACTGCTGGGGCACAGGCCTTCCCTATGGATGGAATAGGGAGATTTGGCCATGACACCCAGTGCGGATTGGTGGGGCTAACGACTGCAGATGCAGCCGGGACCAACAGCTTAACGTGCGTGGAGAACCCGAGATAGAAGATTTTTGGTCACCCATCCAATGACCGATCACTGCGAAAGTTGCTTTACTTCAACAATCGCAGCCGAACGCGCTAACCACCTGCACCATCGAGCTCCTTCTCCTTGATAATATATCGTTTATTATTATCCCACAGAGGCTCTGGCTCGTGGCGAAGGCGGGGCAGATCTCCAGCTGTTCTGGGATTCGTGGGAGCGACACTCGCATACGCGCAACTCTCCCCGCCCGCGACCTCGGCGAGTCAACGACGCGGACTCGCAGCACTCCACGCCGCAGGGGAGGAGAGGTGACTATACTCACCACACAGACAGACCTGGGGGCCATTCTCCTAACGGAAATGCTTTGGAAAACGCTAACGCTTTCGATTTCATTTTGTTATTTCTGACCGCCAAAGGTTTTCAAATGAGGTATTTGAATGAAATCTTACCTTTTTTCACTACCTGAGGCCTGATCGCCTAACTCTTTGCTAAAAAACTTTAAAAATGCTAAAGTTTATGACGTCACACTGTCATTTGGAAACGCCTATGAAAGCCATAACGCTTTCACAACTACTTTGCGGCCCATGACCTGGAGGCCATTCGCCTAACGGAAAAGCTTTGGAAAACGCTAACGGCTTACGATTTCATTTTGTTATTTCTGACCGCCGACGGTTTTCGAATACCTCACGCTCATTTACTTTAATATTGTTATTACCAATGCAAAAGAAAAAATAAGAGCGCGAGGCATTTGAAAACCTCAGGTGGTTAGAAATAACAAAATGAAATCGTAAGCGTTAGCGTTTTCCAAAGCATTTCCGTTTTGCGAATGACCCCCTGCAGCTGTTCTGGGACTCGTGGGGGCCCAAAGAGGTGTTATAATGTTTTACTAAATTTCATTATAACACTCCTTCGCTTTTTAAATCCCTTTTGCGCTAAGGGCTTACTCATCCGGCAGCCACAATTTCCACTGCCCGATGCGTGGTATTATGAATGACAAACAAAGAAAATTATTTGTTCCTTAAGTTTTCACGCAAACCATTCGTTAAATGAAACACATTTAAACAGGTTTATAATACGTCTTTTTACTACTTTTTTGACTTTTCGCATTCTTTTCAGGATACGTCGTCACATTATAATTTTTTATTATTATTTTATTTTTTCTTGACGAGGTAGCTGGAAAAACATTGTCATTCACGCGCGTTTCACTACCACAGCGCCAAACTTAAAAAACCGCACATTCGTGTTTTAATACTTCTCATTATACAACAATTGCATACATAACTATTTTCTTTCTTTCTTATTAGAAAAGCTTTTATTGACCTTACAGATACATAGGTAAAAAAAAACAATAAATATAGCAATAAAAAAAACAAACAGAGCAACGATATTGAGAGAGAAGAAAGGCCAATCAGGACCCTGCCTCAGCTTGATGCTGTTATAGTAGGAAGGGAACGTTCCCACCATAACAGTGCTGGTATTCTGGCAGGGCCTGTACGAGATTTCTAGAGACAAAAATATAAATTATACAATGGTGTAATAATACATAAATAATTAAATTTTATAAGATTGATAATAAATAATATTAAATAAATATTAATAAATTATCATTGTATGATAAATGCAGGTGGCAAATCTCCCACGACGCCTGTGGGTAAACGCAAGCAGAACTCCAGTCTGCCGGCGCCCGCAGCTCTCACCAAGTCGCGATCGCACGAGTCACAGCTGTCCGTCAGACCGGACGCTTCCGACCTCAGGTAAACAAATATATAGTACAATTTTATAACGTTATATGGTCAACGATATTAAATACCTTAGATACAACAACAGGAAAAAATCGTGGCCGAAACCTGTCCAAAAGGTACATTGGACGATCCACGGAGCTCCGAAAGATGATCGCGTAGTTAAAAACAATAAAACGCTTTATTTTAACATTGAAAGTCAATTATGAATGATCGGAATGCAAGCTCGCAAAATTTTACGATTTATTGCTATATGCGGAAGAATATAGATCTTATTTATTTGACTCTACGCGCAATTCTGAATGCGCTGTTAGCAATATAGCTGGTATGGACCGCCAGGAAAAGAGACGGCAATATGGCGATGTATAACCGACCATGCATTTGGATATCACAAATATTTAATATTAAATCAGGTTATAGTTAGTAGATACCTGTCGAAAAAAAGGTATTTTTAACGGAGCTCTGCGGTATCTTGACTTTTCAAAGGTCCGCCCGTAACTGTGAACTACGAAGTGCTTGAGTGTTGTTCAAGCACTTCTTGATTAGGACACATTTTGAGCGCACGTGGTGTAACTGGGGTATTTAATATCGTTGTATACGGTATATAATATTATCATCATCATCATCAGCCTATTAATGTCCCCACTGTTGGGGCACACGCCTTCCCTATGGATGGAATAGGGAGATTGGGCCATGACCACGCGGGCCACGGTGCTAACGACTGCAGATGTTGCAGGGACAAACGGCTTAACATGCCTTTTTTTTCCAACACACACCAATTATATTTGTTTCTTAGGTTTTCACGCACATCACTCATTAAATGAAACTAGTTTTTACGGGTTAATGCACGAAAATCTGCAGTGTGTGAACTTGCATTGTGGGGAACAAACTACTACATTAGATTTGATGGACCAAAGATCCTTGCAGCTGAGCGGCGGTTCGTTCCTCGAATGATGCGCGAGGCTATTGAGATTAAAAAATATCCAAATTTCAATAGGGAAGATGGTTGGTATATACCACCAGCTTGGGAACCTATTATACAGGAGATAAAATCCCAACCCCGAGCACACACTGCAAGACCATCAGATACTATTAGTTCTTTTTGTTTGCATAATTTAACATAAGGAGATAGAAAGCCTCTCTTGAGTTTGTTTCGCCGGTTCTTCTCACGAAGGTCTCCCAATTTTGGAACCGGTGGTAGTTTACGGTAGTTAGGGTCAAATAAATAAACTCAAAATTACAAACAAGAATTTTAAATAAAATACTTTATTAAGTAAATTAAATAATAAACTCATACATAGACAATAAAATTTTAAAAAACTTCCAATGAAATAACCGAACGCTCAATATAAGTCTTTCGAAGGTAGCTCGACAATTTTAATTAAAAAATCATTATTCTGACGATGCAGACCTGAAAAGGCTGCGAAACGTCAATAAATAAATAAAGTTTCGTGCACACACCAATTAGCCTAGCCCCAAAGTAAGCACTGTAAGGTTATGGGATGCTAGGGTAACGGATAGAATACATATACTGTACATATATAAGTATATTTATATAGAAATACATATTAAACATCCATGACTGGAGTACAAATGCTCGTATTCATCACACAAACATCTGCCCCCCCGGGATTCGAACCCGGGACCTCTTGAGTCGGCGACACCATGAAACCCGGCGTACAAACCACTCGGCCACGGAGGTCGTCAAAGCACGCTTTCGAAGCACGGACGGTAGATAATATACATAAATACAAATTAAATAGCGTTACCCGGAAGATAAAATATGGCTTATGTCTATATCACGTTGATTGATATTATTTTGTAAAGGTGAAAGATTATTATAATATATTATTTTAATGTTCCTCATTGTACAACAGTTTCACATAACTATTATTACACGCCAAATCAAGCCAAGCTAGACTGACGTGATCAAAAATACGAGATAATAAATTTTTGGTCACCCACACATTCAAAACACTGTACGTATATGTCAAGGCCGTTATACCAAACCATACCGCGATGTAGATGTATGAACAGCGCCATCTGTTAAAAATCTTACACACCATGTACGTACCTATTCTAACGAAATATCAGATTACTTTTGTTAAATTTTTACGTTTTATTAAATTGTGTAATTATCTTAATTTATCTTTATATATATAATTCTTCTGTGAGTGTGTATGTCACTGAACTTCTCTTAAACGACTGGACCGATTTTGATGAAATTTTTTGTGTGTGTTCAAGGGGATCTGAGAATGATTTAGATTCACAATTTTGTCCGCTGGACAATGTTTTTTAATTAATTGTTAATTTATTAGTAGTTGTTGATTTTGGAATGTTTTACATTGGATCCGACAGACGGCGCTACCATACTAGACAGGACAACGTCTGTCGGGTCCGCTAGTCTTTATATATAATTCTTCTGTGAGTGTGTATGTCACTGAACTTCTCTTAAACGACTGGACCGATTTTGATGAAATTTTTTGTGTGTGTTCAAGGGGATCTGAGAATGGTTTAGATTCACAATTTTGTCCGCTGGACAACCCCTATTTTTTTAGGGCGGTAAGAAGTTCGCTGGGTCAGCTAGTGTTAATATATATTTTTATGATAATTATTATGAAAGTTCGTTTCACTTCTGACATGCGTACTCTGTATACCCGCTGTTTTTTTTATGTTAAAAGGGCAGCAGCCAAGCTTATAGCTTGCCTGATGGTTAACAACCAACATAAGGTATAGACGCTTGCGATACAAAACCATATCACTCGTACGTTGCCTACCCTGATCCAGTCTACCCCATGGAGCTCTGGGGGCCATTCGCCTAATGGGATTGCTTTGGAAAACGCTATCGCTTACGATTTCATTTTGTTATTTCTGACCGCCGAAGTTTTTCAAATACCTCATGCCAATTTTCTTTAATATTGTTATTAACAATGCAAAAGAGAAAAATAGTTGATAATGGAGTTTTTGATATGGTTATTTTCACTGAAATACACAACAGAATGATGAATATACACTTTTTACGGACTCCATAAACATTAGTCAATAACGTGAGATCGTTTTCTAAAACTTGTCAAATAGGTACCCTATTGGTTTAGTAGTTCCAGGGATTACAACCAACCAAAAAATGTTTGTGCCAAACATTTGCAACTCTCAGATATTGCAGCCGTTATTTGTTATGATGAAGAGTATTCTTTAATAATAGTGAGTAATTTTCTTGTATCAATGAGGCGTTACGTGTGTCTTGAACTCACTGGTAGTGCGTGTAATGATTATTTTATTAATTTAAACTACCTATTTCTAGTTATGTTTTTTATTTATTTTTAAGCATTTAACTGCTAGATGTTTAAATCTAAAGAAAAGTTTACTAGAAAAAAACATTACCGCCCGGATTGCGAAGTGTGCGGGTTCGAGTCCCGTCCGCTGCCTGGTCCGCGTGGATTTTTTTCTAGTAAACTTTTCTTTAGATTTAAACATCTAGCAGTTAAATGCTTAAAAATAAATAAAAAACATAACTGTAATTGCTATTTCTTCTTTCAAATACTTGAAAAAGTATTCATTTGACATTGTGGGTTACCTACAATGCGAAGAGATGGCGCTGCCTTGCAGCTTAAGGCTAGGAAAATTTCGACGCGGCGAATAGGGCCGTGGTAGCATAATGGTCAGTGCATTCGCCCGGATTGCGAAGGGTGCGGGTTCGAGTCCCGTCCGCTGCCTGGTCCGAGTGGTTTTTTTTTCTATTAAACTTTTCTTTAGATTTAAATACCTATTTCTAAGCATTACTTTATATATAATACACTAAAACGTTATGTAAAATCTCACTTCCATAAAAAATATGTTTAAAAAGGCGTTTTAAAGTTCCTTAGTGTATTCATATAAATAGTTCAGATAATTAACCACAGTTTGGTTGTTATGCAGCGATAACAGCCAGTCGTCAGCGTTGGGTGGAGGGGAGAACTCCCCTCCCGCCTCCCCGCGTCTCCCCGAGCCCGACTCCACGCCCTCCCATCGCCCGCACTGCAATAATAACGTGAGTATGATTGTGGCGGCGGCATCTACATGCCCCACATACTAGTGAGCGGTCCACTAACATTCATTCCCGCCGGAATCCATAATCCGTACGAATTGCACAGTAGTCGATTTGCAAGAGCGACCAAATAATTAACTATCATTCAATCTGTACGTATTATAAATTCCGACAAGAATGAACTGTAGTGGATGGCCTGCTATTACCAACGGATGTAGGATATAATCACTCGCCTCGTGAAAAGATGGCGCTACCGGCACTGCGAACAGTAAGTACGGAAGCCTACATCGCGCAAGTGAAATTCGGAGGCAAACACTTAACATATGCATTGCCGCGGCTCCCAAGCTACCAACACCCAGCTCGGAGGAAGGTCTTCCCTCTGGCCATCCTACATGATAAAATATAAGCTCAAATGCTATAATATCGGGCACATTTATTGCGAACACAAACGAATAACTTGCCTCGGTGGAAAGTCCTTGAAGTCGTTCGAGAAAATGTCCACCGATGACTTGTCACGGATTTGTCGCTCACGATGATTCGTCCCCGAAAATTCGCCCGCTATTGATGTTAATATTCTCAGATTACGTATTGTTATAATTGACACGAAATTTAAGAAAAAGAGAAGACATTTTAAAAGAGAACACTGGGTTTATATCATGGTGTTTTAATACAGATAAAAATAAACTTATTTTTTTTTATATTTATTTAAAAATTAATTTAAAAAAAAAAGGCTTCGAGACATGTTAAAAAAAATCTTATTTATGTATAATTGAATATCTAATGGATAAGGACTAAATTGAGTAATATATAAATATGGTTACGATGAATGACATTTAATATTGTGATAACTTTCGAATTTAATTTTATTGTAAATGTTTTTTTTATGTAGTATAATAATGAATATCTGATGGATAAGGACTTAAATAAATGATAAGAAGTTTAATTAAGATTACTGACACTTATTATGATGACATTTTATTTTGAATTGTAATTTAATTTAATTTTAATTGTTTTTATTTTTCATGTAGTATAAATTCAAAGTACCGTTATTAATTCAATATTTGTATGCCTAATGGCTGGTCGTAGTTGGACTGTATATATAAGCTTAATAACCATGTATTACCTATGTACCACAAATAAATAAATAAAAAAAACTATTATGAATATGTACAGGTGGCGGCAATAGGCGCTCCCCGTTCCCCTCGAACGCCGACTGTAAGCCGTTGTATGGCGCACGATATCGCGCACCGCTTCACCAAGACCTTCAACATGATCGCCACCTGCGACTACTGCGACAAGCAGATGCTGTTCGGCTCCGGGCTCAAGTGCAAGGAGTGCAAGTTCAAGTGCCACAGGTGAGTGTTGGACTGATAATGTTCAGGTGTAAGCCGCTGTATGGAGCACCGCTTCACCAAGACCTGAAATTTATATATATTATTTATATTTATGTACAAAGAAATTTGGTGACTCATTTCTTTGTCGCACTATCCGTAAATGGAATGCTCTGCCTGCTCACGTGTTCCCTCCTTCTTACAACCTGGGATCCTTTAAAAGAGGCGTGAAGAAGCAACATGCAGGCCGGCAAGATGAGGATGGCTGGTGTGGCTGGTAGAACTGCTGTACCAGCTATCTTCACGTCTCGACTTCACCATCACTTAACCACTTAACATCAGGTGGAGTGGAGGCATTTGCCGGACCTAACTATAAAAGAAACCCTTCAACATGATCCCCACCTGCGACTACTGCGACAAGCAGATGCTGTTCGGCTCCGGGCTCAAGTGCAAGGAGTGCAAGTTCAAGTGCCACAGGTGAGTGTTGGACTGATAATATAGGTATTCAGGTGTAAGCCGTTGTATGGAGCACCGCTTCACCAAGACCTTCAACATGATCGCCTACTGCGATAAGCATATTCTACTTAATTCATCCGTTATGGCGCTGTTTACAATTCCATACAAAATTTCTTGACGTTTGACGCGTTCCGAGATCGAATTCTAATAGTTTGAGAGTGCGAAATGGCAATGTAAAATTATGTATGGAAACTTGAACAGCAGCGGCACAACGGAAGTAATGAGAACTTAAAAATGAGTACACATTTGACGTATATCTAGATCTCGATACGCGTCATATCTCAGGATGTTTTGTATGGAAAAAAATAATTCTCGTTTCGTCCGTTGTTGTGGCGCTGTAAAAATTTCCATACATAACTTATTGCCATTTGACGCGTATCGACATAGAATTCAACTATTCGAACACGATATTGGTTCATGCTTAAGATACTGATCACAAAACTCATCTACGCCCCGTCTTCGCGTCGGACACGCCAATCCGGGCCGCCGCACAAATGTAAGACAGAGAGCATTTCATTGATTGAATAATGAATTGAATTGCATTTGTTTTAGTTGCAATTTGTCATCCGCATCGTGATCGCAACAGCGCTATACGAAAAAGTAAGACAGCGATAATACATGTATATGAATGAATTTTTACTACGCCGCTACCGCAAGCGATTATGGCATTATGGGTGACAGAGCGGGTCTTTCCGCGAGTGTACCAAATGTTGTCATTTGTATGTAAGATATTCTTCAATCGACATATTTAATTTGAAACCTGCAGCTATCAGGCGGTTGATGACTGATTTTTTTTTATGAATCCTTGAATTTCATTTGAGTCAATTTTTTTCTCAAATTTGTAAAATTTAATTTCCAATCTTAAAATTTCTTCATACTTATAAGTGAAAACATGTTAATGGCTTATAGTTGTTAATATTTTTAAAGCAAATTTTGTATGAATACCTATAAGTTTTCACATTCAGTATGTAAATAAATAAATTATGCTTCAATTGAACGTATTTGGTTGGTAGATAATTTTCATTATATTTATAATGCTTTATAAAAAATATTTTTGTTACAGAGACTGTGAGAGTAAAGTTCCTCCGTCGTGCGGCCTACCTCCTGAATTCGTGGTTGCATTCAAAGAAACGTTTCACAAGGAATGTAAGTTAATGAAATATATTCACGCTTATTTTAAGTTTGGACGCCGGGTTTCACGGTGTCGCCGACTCGAGAAGTCCCGGGTTCGAATCCCGGTGGGGGCAGATGTTTATGTGATGAATTGAATTTGTACTCCAGTCATGGGGATGTTTAATATGTATTTCTATATAATTATACTTATATACGTACAGTATATGTATTCTATTCGTTACCCTAGTATCCCATAACACAAACCTTGTAAGTGCTTACTTTGGGGCTAGGCTAATAGGGTATTTGACAGTGTTTGTGTGCTTGTGTGTGTGCCATTTGTTAGTATCTGTGTTTAGAATGAATATTGACAGGGGTTTTTATTATTTTTACTAAAAAATATTCATAATATTACTAAAAATTAACGAAAAAGATAATAGTTTTCTTATTGTCACGTGACCCAAAACGCTTGGGATTGGCGGAGCCTAAAATGACGTCACACGCAAGTAAACTTCCGGTTAAAGTGACATTACATTGTATCGTTTGACGTTTTAATAACAATCGTGTGACGTCACACACTAGTAAGACGCCATATTGTCCAGAGAAACGTTTTCGCGGCAACTTGAAAATGGAGTTTTTGACTTGGTTATTTTTATTGATATACACAACTGAATGATGAATATCCACTTTTTGTTGAGTCCATAAACATTAGTCAATAACGTGAGATTGTTTTCTAAAACTTGTCAAATACCTTATTGGTGTGAGTGTTGGAAAAAATTATTTATTTTTATTTGCTGGCCGCTGCAGTAATGTACTATTTATTTTAGCACCCGGTTCCGGCGGGTACTACGGCTGCGCGTCCCCGGTGCAGTCGAGGGGAGGGGGCGGGGGAGGGTCCCTCACCGGGGGAGGGTCCTTCCTCGCCTCCCTCACTCACCGTCCCCGGTGGAGAGGCGCTCCCCCTTCACACCACCACGTATGTATCATCATCAGCCTATTAATGTCTCCGGTGCTGGAGCACAGCCCTTCTCTACCAATGGAATACGGAGATTGGGCCATGGCCAACCACGCGGGTACTACTGGTGGGTGCTAACGACTGCAAATGCAGCCGGAACCAATGGCTTAACAATGGCTGAGGAGCTCTAGATAATAAGTTTTTGGTCACCCATCCAATGACCGACCATTGCGAAAATTGCTTAACTTCCATGATCGCAGACCGAACTCGCTGATCGCCAACTTCATCGAGCTTCACTATATAGCACGTGAACCTTTATAATGACGTCATTATTGTGTGGGCACTGCCGATGGGGCAGTCTAGGGGAGATGCTTCACCACCACGTATGTAGTCTTAGATTTTTTGCCCCTAGAACGCCGCCAACCCCTAGATAATATAATTTCGTTACGTTATCTTTAATCATTATATATATATATATATATATGTGTGTATATATATTACTTTTAACCATAAATATATTCAAAGATAGTATAATAAAAGCACTTTTTAACAAAGTTTATTACAAAGTGTCTCGATTATATTGCAGGCACAAATGCTTGGGATTGAACTGTTCCAATCATTCCAACAGGTCATCTGTATTAAATAAATCATGATTGTATTGACATTGTAATAACATAATGATATGTAAATGTTGTTACATTATACTTTTAATGTTGTGGAGTTTTCTTCGCACGTTTTTCTCTGCAGCCAAAAAATATGTTCAATAATGAGTGGTAGGAAAAAAAATATAGTACGATTCAAAATAGTTGCACTATACATGCAATTTGAATAAAGATGTAACAACCCTAGATCACCCCCATATAGGCTCGTCAACCCTAGGAATTACACGCTTGCGTTGAGTTGTGAGTTGAGCTGTGAGTAACCTAGCAACGCGCTCGAGTGATATTGTTGATTGTGATATCTGTTGTATTTTAATAATAAATGCCTTAAGAAGTACTGCTGGCTCATTATAAAGATACTAGCTGACCCAGCGAACTTCGTACCGCCATAAAAAATAGGGGTTGGTGGTATAAGGGTGAAAATTTAGGGTTGTATGTATCTTTGTATGAGGAATCAAAAAAAAAAAAATATATCTAAAATTGAAAAAAAAATTTTTAGGGATGGATTACCCTTAACATTAAGGGGGATGAAAAATAGATGTTGTCCGATTCTCAGTCCTACCCAATATGCACACAAAATTTCATGAGAATCGGGAAAGCCGTTTCGGAGGAGTTTAACCACAAACACCGCGACACGAGAATTTTATATATTAGATACTAGCTGTCCCAGCGAACTTCGTACCGCCATAAAAAAACAGGGGTTGGTGGTAGAAGGGTGAAAATTTAGGGTTGTATGTATTTTTGTATAATGTATCATAAAAAAATTAAAAAAAAAATTGAAATTGTAAAAAAAATTTAGGGGTGGATTACCCTTAACATTTAAGGGGATGAAAAAAAGATTCCATCCGATTCTCAGACCTACTGAATATGCATATAAAATTTCACGAAAATCGGTCGAGCCGTTTCGGAGGAGTTTAACCACAAACACCGCGACACGAGAATTTTATATATTAGATATAGATTTCTGATTTCTAACAATACGTTTCTCCCCAGAACGGCGCCAACCCCTCACCCCGTGGCAACCACGGGCCAGATTCTTCCTCCAACACTTCTTCGTGCAACAGTTCCACCCCATCCTCCCCGGCGTTGGCGGCTTCCACTGCGCCCCAACAGCCCCAACAACACCACCACACCCACCAACACCATCAACACAACAACCCTCTGCAGCCGCACCACAAGCAGCAGTTTCACTTCCCAGGTAACAATCATCATCAGCCTATTAATGTCCCCACTGCTGGGGTACAGGCCTTCCCTATGGATGGAATAGGGAGATGGGGCCATGACCCACCACGCGGGCCCAGTGCGGATTTGTGGGTGCTGTAGTCGACAGATGCAGCGGGACCAACGGCTTAACACGCCTTCCGAAGCACGGAGGAACTTGAGATAGATGATTTTTGGTCACCCATCCAATGACCGACCGTTGCGAAAGTTGCTTAACTTCAACGATCGCAGCCGAACGCGCTAGCCACGTGCGCCATCGAGCTCCTCTATTCCCAGGTAACAATATAAGCTTTAAATAAAACTAGATTTTTAACGGCTTAATGCACGAACTTTATTTATTTATTGACGTTTCGCAGCCTTTTCAGGTCTGTATCGTCAGAATGATTTTTTTTTTATTTACTTTGTCGGTAACTCGACGAAAGACTTTTATTGAGCGTTCGGATATTTCATTGGAAGATTTTTAGAACTTTATTGTCTATGTATGAAATTATTAGTTAATAAAGTAGTTTATTTAAAATTCTTTTTTGTAATTTGGAGTTTATTTATTTGACCTTAACTACCGTAAACTATCACAGAAGAACCGGAGAAACAAACTCAGAGAGGCTTTCTATCTCCTTCTTATTATAAGCTTTATATTTTAATTTGTAAGCATTTAACTCAACGATGTTAAATGCCCAAGATACACCACAAGAGCTCGAAATGTGTCTCAATCAAGGAGTGCTTGAACTCAAGCACAGTCACGCGCGGACCGTTGAAAAGTTAAGATACCGCAGAAAAAATCTATAAAAATACTTATAGTACGTAAAGTGTCGATTTTTCGACAGGTATCTAATCAATGTTTCTTATATTAACGCATTTGAAGCAGCTTTTGTTGTAATACTTACTATAAACCGATTTAATAAAGAAATAAAATAAATAAATAAATATTTCCAACACTCACACCAATTAGCCTAGCCCCAAGCTAAGCACTATAAGGCTTGTGTTATGGGATACTAGGGTAACGGATAGAATACATATACTGTATATATATAAGTATATTTATATAGAAATGCATATTAAACATCCATGACTGGAGTACAAATGCTCGTATTCATCACACAAACATCTGCCCCCACCGGGATTCGAACCCGGGACCTCTCGAGTCGGCGACACCATGAAACCCGGCGTACAAACCACTCGGCCAAGGAGGTTGTCGAATAATAGAAATATTTGTGATATTCAAATGCATGGTCGGTAATATAGCCGTCACTTTTCTTCGCGGTCCGTACCTGCTATATTGCTAACAGCGCATTCAGAATTGCGCGTAGATTCAAAGAAATAAGGTCTATATTCTTCCGCATATCGCAGTAAGTCGTAAAATTTTACGAGCTGGCCTTTCGAACTGTCATAACTCTTTGACGCATGCGTTTTAATTAAGACCTTATATAGTATGATTTAAAGGTGACTTTCGATGTTTAAATAATGCCTTATATTGTTTTTGTCTACGCGATCATCTTACGGAGCTCCGTGGATCGTCCAATGTACCTTTTGGATAGTTTTCGGACACGATTTTGTTCGTGTTGTTGTATCTAGGGTATTTAATATCGTTGATTTAACTGCTAGATATTTATATCTAAAGAAAATGCTTACATAATAAAAAATAGAACTATAACTGCTATTTCGTCTTTTAAATGTTTGGTTTTCATTTGACATTGTGGGTTACCTACAATGTCAAGAGATGGCGCTGTCTTGCAGCCTAAGAAATACTAGAGAAAATTCGACACGGCCGTAGTTGCATAATGGTCAGTGCATTCGGCCGGATAGCGAAGGGTGCTGGTTCGAGTCTCATCTGCTGCCCGGTCCGCGTGGATTTTAGTAATATTTAGGTTTAGTTTGTTACAACACCCTAAGGGTATGACCACATCTTTACATTACGACGTCGTCGCCGTGGGACGGTGCGTCTGCGCCGTCGTAATCGTTTATCATTAAATCCCTTGTATCTTCTAACAGTAATAGTAAAACGTGTTATAATGTTTACAAATAGCAAATATACAGGGTGTGACAAAAGTCCGAAATAACACATACAACACCCTAAAGGGTATGACCACATCTTCACGTTACGACGTCGTCGCCGTGGGACGGTGCGTCTGCGCCGTCGTAATCGTTTATCATTAAATCCCTTGTTTTTACTAACAGTAATAGTAACACGTGTTATAATTTACAAATAGCAAATAATTGAATTGTCAATGATGCTGGCGGGGATCATTGTACTTTTTTCCAATATTCCCCTCCAAGTATTGTCTCCATAGTCAATGAGTATATCTGGAAAAACGGTAAAAAAAAACCCCATTGGTGGGGATATATCGGTTCTGGAATAAACGGAGAAACCATGGTGGCGGCATGAAAATTCTTGATGGGCAAAATGTTTTGCAAGTTTGTTAAGCCAATAAAAAAATATCTTTAGTGGCATTTACCTTTTCATAATAATAAAATGCCAATATAATTTTCACCAAATGTCAAACATCATGCATGATGTAATCAGTACCCTTAGCACGGACCAAAATCGAATTCGTAACGTTTGCGAGTCCGAAATGTCATTGTCAAATGTGTACTGATTTTTAGTTCCCGTTACGTCCAAAGTGAGGCTGCTGTTCAAGTTTCTATACAAAATTTGACATTGATATTTCGGTTTGCAAACTATTCGAATTCGTTAATGGTTCGAGCTAGGGGTACTGTACCTACTAAAAAATAAAATCGATTAAATTTAAGGTTTAATTAAAGTCACTCACATGTTACTTTAAATAACGTTAAATTTATTTGATATCTCTGAATAGTCATTTATTATTATTAATTATGGCATGTTACGAAAGAATATATGAGGAGCTGGCTGAAATAAAAAAATAAGGAGCTGTAAAAAACTGTATGGCATACCTACAGTGAGCTTTTGGCGTGGTCTTTTATTTATAATTTTAGTAATTATAACTCGGTTTTAGGCGGTTTTTATTAAAAATGAGCTGAAATTCATATTCATCTAGCCCAAAACCTCCAGACTGTAAAAACGAAGTAATTTTACCAGATGCGTAATTATACCGTTTCGTTCGCCAGCTCCTCATATTGTAGTGATTGTTGCAAATAACATTGTTATTAAACTGTGGTAACGTTAAGTGTTTTCTATAAGCATGCTTCTCTGCAAAATGTTAACTAACACAATAATATATCACGGAAGTGATTTGTTGTAAATTCTCATGAGAATAAAAAAGTTCTTAAACGACTTTTTCACCTTTTTCAATACAGAAGTGAAACCTCCTGTTTCGAGTCCGAACCATACGTCGTCGGTGCAGTCTCCCGCGCGGGTATCGCAGGACAGCAAAGACGAGCTCACCTCCAGTGTTAAAAGTGGTGAGTTCCAAACTAAGTACAGACCTATTCACTTTGGCGTGTGACAAAATGTAAACAAAGAATCTGAGGTTCTAAAACAATGTCAGAAAGTACCCACTAGTCAATGATTACGTATAATTTATGTTACATATAATTTATTAACAACTTGAAAACTTTACAGAAAAAAATAACAACAAACTCCAACAAATAAAACAAGGAAATAACAAGAGTTTAACAAATATGATAGAATATGCACGCTCGCGGCAACAGGTTGATCGGGAGAGTAAAGATGGCTAACGTACACCAACCGATTCCAAACACAACACTTCAACGTAAAATACTTATATCATGGCTACTCTTAAATTTTGTCGTATTATAATACGTTAAGTTTGGGAATTATTGTGTTTTTAGGTCTTGTTCCATGTCAACTTACGTTGTTCAAATACTTTTATCAGCAAAATAAAAATATACGAATTTATGATGAGCATGTACGTTAAATATGTAAGAAATATTTTATTTTCTTATTTGTATGTACCAGCTTTTAAAATAATTAACTTAATGTTTCCCTGCATTTCCTATGTAAATATTATTTAATCTTTACTTTTGCCAAACGTGACCTTAAAAAGTATCCTTTTATGGTTTGTTTACATTTTGTCTCACGCCATTGTGAATAGACTATATGGTCTATATATGGCCTAGGCCAAGGATGGGGAAACTACGGCCCGCGGGCCATCTCCAGCTCTCTGACTAAATTCCGGCCCACGGCCATCAAACGAAAATCAAAAGCAAATCCCATCAACTATTCGTGACTCTATTTACCAAAATAATACCATTTCGGTACATGTCAGTAACGACAAGGACTGCTGGCCATTCTTGGTACTTACTTTGGAGCAAACTTAAAAAGGTTATTGATAATATTGATTTCTAAATTATTTACTATTCATAAGATTGCTTGAATAATAGAAGATGTCGATAACCCACTTTAATTTAATAAAAAAGAATCAAAAATTAAAATAACCTCCCGACCTCCATGGCCGAGTGGTTTGTACGCCGGGTGTCAAGGTGTCGCCTATTCGAGAGGTCGCGGGTTCGAATCCCGGTGGGGGCAAATGTTTGCGTGATGAATACGAACATTTGTACTCGAGTCATGATTCATGCATGTTTAATATTTATTTCTATACAAATATACTTTAATCTGTATCAGTATATGTATTCTATCCGTTACCCCCTCACGTGTTGTAAGAGGTAGGGATCCCTCTTACAACCTGGGATCCTTTAAAAGAGGCGTGAAGAAGCAACATGCGGGCCGACAAGGTGAGGATTGCTGATGTGGCATGTAGAACTGCTGTACTAGCTATCTTCACGTCTGGACTTCACTGTTACTTAACATCAGGTGTGGTGGAGTCACTAGTCGGACCTGTCTAATTTTTTTTGCAAACGTAATATTTTGCTCTTTTAGGAGCTCGATGCGATCGTTGAAGTTAAGCAACTTTCGCAGTGGTCGGTCATTGGATGGGTGACCAAAAATCTTCTATCTCGAGTTCCTCCGTACTTCGGAAAGCACTTTAAGCCGTTAGTCCCGGCTGCTTCTGCAGTCGTTAGCACCGCGAGGTGGGTCATGGCAAAATCTCCTTATTCCATCTATAGGGAAGGCCTATGCCCCAGCAGTGGGGACATTAATAGGCTGATGATGATGGTAATATTTTGACGTACCTTTTAAGCAGACAGTTCCCGTTGCGTGTCGCTCAGCGGGTCTGGCTCGACGGACAGCGGCGGGCCGCAGCGAGCCGACTCCTTGGACCGAGCCAATAAACAGGACTCAAGGTGGCCGAGGCAGAATAGCGTAAGTGCCATTCATTTGTATTCTATAAATTATATACTAGCTGTTCCAGCGAACTTCGCACCGCCATAAAAAATAGGGGTTGGTGGTACAAAGGTGAAAATTTAGGGTTCTATGTATTTTTGTATGATGTATCATAAAAAAATAAAAACAAAAAATTTTGCCCAAAAAAAAAATTTTTAAGGGTGGACCACCCTTCACATTTAGGGGGATGAAAAATAGTCGTTGTCCGATTCTCAGACCTACTGAATATGCATATAAATTTTCACGAAAATCGGTCGAGCCGTTTCGGAGTAGTTCAATTACGCACAGCGTGACACGAGAATTTTATATATTACATTACATACACACACACACACACACATAGGCTTTTGCATACAAACACACATACAAGCAAGTGGTACCGAGAGAAGATACGCGAGTGGGACCTGGAGTCCAGGGTTGCCCTAGTTTAGGCTCCAGATCACATAGTTTCTGTTACATATAAATGAAACACCAATTGTAGTTATACCTACCTGTATGATGTGTGTCATAAATAAAATATATCATATCATAAATAAAATATATCTGAGTGCAATAAATTGAATTGAAAAAATAAATGAATTGAATTAAATACTTATTCGACACACACTTATCAGGGCCGTGGTAGCGTAATGGTCAGTGCATTCGCCGGGATAGCGAAGGGTGCGGGTTCGAGTCCCGTCTACTGCCTGGTTCGCGTGGATTATTTTCTAGTAATGTTTTCTTTAGATATTAACATCGAGCAGTTACATGCATAAAAAATTAAAATTATATCTTATCTATTAGACAAGTCCGTCCGTCCGTCTGTGGTGCTGTTTCAGCGGCCAAACCGTAAGAGATAGATAAAGACAATATTTAAGTTATAAGTTAAGAATAGTCTGATAAGACTACAAACCGGATTTGAGTAACGTAGCACTTCCGGTTTTCGCGAAATCACGAATTTCAAACGAAACCACACAAAATCTCCGAAGTTCTCAATTAATTAAATACATTTTTTTTTAAATCAGGTTTTGGTGAACATTTGGTTCACTGGTTTGCTAGTCTTATATATTATTTATTATATTTATATTATATATTTATACAATTACTAGTACGTAATTTGTTTCTAATATTTAGGTATTTCGATTTTTCCATCGGGCAAAATATCTGGAATAATATATAAATAAGTGGTTAGGGTGAAAAAAGAGACAAACGAGTAATCTACCTACACTCGCGTTAAAAACAAAACTACATAAAATACTGTAGGCGGGCGGCCCTACCGCGTGCTAACGCAGCGCTCGGCCGTAGGTATATAATTCAAGGACAGGGCGGAGTCACAATACTGTATAGATAATATTACCGTGATGTAGCTTTCAACTGGTGAAAGAATTTTCGAAATTGGGGTCAGTAGTTTTTTCAGTTTATTGGTTACAAACTTACAATCTTTCCTTTTTGTAAGTATAGATTTATTCAAGACATATCTAGTAACAAGAATTAATAAAAAAATCATTTCAGTTATGTACGCCTATAACAGTACCCTTAGTACGAACCATTATTGAATTTGAATAATTTGCCAGTCCGAAATGTCGTTGTCAAATTTTATATGGAAACTTGAACAGCAGCGCCATAACGGACGTAACGAGAACTAAAAATCGGTACACATTTAACACTGACATTTTATACTCGCAAAAGTTACGTATTCGGATATTGATTCGTGCTAAGGGTATAGATGTGTACAGCATTCAATGAACTTGTCAGAAATTTACATTAAGTCTCCAGTCTACTTATTCCATCCATAGGGAAGGCCTGTGCCCCAGCAGTGGGGACATTAATAGGCTGATGATGATAGTTTACGGAAGAACTAGAAATATAAGACACGACCAATGTCAGTTGTCACGACATTCGAATGAACTATTTATACTATTTCACTTACAAGTCTTTATAAAAAAATACATTGCTTTCAACAACTGCAATATATATATATTGTATTGTACTTATTTCCCATCGAAATTATTAAATTACATACAGTGAATAATATAATCTATACTTTTTATTTGAAATCAGTCACAAACATGTTTTCTACATGTAATATACAGTGTATAATAATATTTATTCTTTTTATTTCAAAACAATCGCTAACATGTTTTGTACCGATAAATCAGTCACGTTCTTGAGCGCAAATTCAACGTCTATTTATAAATAAAAGCTTGCTCTTCTCCATTCGTCAGCCGAGGGCTCGCCTCCACATTTATGGCTGTAACCGCCGACACTAATTGCAGTTAAACGGCAGTTAACTGGTGATAACAAACGCCGCGATAAAACTCGAGCTTACTACAGAAATAGAGGTGCACGTGCATGATATAGTATCGATATTTTACATCAGTTAAAAATATTTTAAGAAATATTTTGTTATTTAATAAAGTGTTGTTAATACAGTTAATTTAAACATATGCGAAATATTTATTTATTTAGTACATTACTTCTTTAAGTTTTTTATAAAAAAAAGAATAACAATTTTATTAAAAAAATGGGCATTTATTATAATATTTTAAAACAAATGAAGGGTTAAACAGGCTTAGTACATTTTTTCGTAAATTGATTTTTGTAATCTACGGCCACAAATATATTGTTTATCTTATGGCTATCACAAACAACAAAACAAATTGATTTTACTGTATTCTTACTTACCCTTATAGCTATTAACGGGATTGTTACCATGTACCTTGTTTTTTATGACTTTTCTTACTTACCAAGTGAAAAATCAGGTAAGTCAAGGACTTAACCATTTTTCCCGTGCTTGCCTGCAACGGAACGTATTCAAATATTCTCACAAACATCGTGATGTCGATAATTTGTAAATAAATATTAATCCAACACTACAGTAATTCTTGTGTGCGATGCTTTTCTGACTCATTTGTGTCTGTATTCTAATGATAACAACACGTCAGAGATCAGTGTCCCCTAAGTGTTCGAAGTGAAATATTTATAGAAGCAATTAATATTATATACTTTTATGAGAAAAGTATCAATCACCATGAATGATTTCATCCACCGCCGCAGATTATTTGAAGAAGTATGTACACAAAGTTATTATGATTAAAAAAAAAGAATATTTAACTTATTGTGATCGTAAATTCGCTAAATATAGGCAGCTAGTCACTTGTTCCTAATTACACCTCAGATCTGTACCCTTAGCACGAACCATTATCGAATTTCAATAGTTTGCGAGTCCGAAATGTCATTGTCAAATTTTGTATGAAAACTTGAACATTAGCGCCATAACGTACGTAAGGAGAACAAAAAATCAGTACATATTTGACATGACATTTCGGACTCGCTAACGATACGAATTCGATATTGGTTCGTGCTAAGGGTACTGAGCACTGCTTAGTTCTATTCCCAATTAATATTGCAAATCAAACTTTACTGAATCATTAAGAAGTTAACAAGGGCACTGATTTAAAGAGGCAGTTGTAAATAGCAGTTTTGGTAAGTTAAAAAATATAAATGGCACGTTTAATAACTAGTTAGCAGTAAAAACTAAGCAGTAAAGTAAACAAAAATTAGTAATAAAAAATAATGAAATGGATCAGTGAATATATAATTGAGGAAAATAATTAAAAGGGCGGTAAAAAATATTGAACGAGCGGCTGCGTGTGGGCAGTAATAAATCGGAAGTCCATGTTTTACTGTCGCAATGATTAATCAACCCCCATTAAATTAAAGAACTGCTCAATATGTTTTTCAACTGATCATAATAACAGCTCTACAAATTAGTTCCCGTTAACAAGGGGCTTGTTTCACCTTGTTAGAAACTTTTCTTGTTCCTGTATATCTTGCATCCTACTCTTTTAATGGTTAGAACACAATAATTTACAATAGTGACAAATTGGCTTTTTTGTTATCGTTCGAGTATTTTTTTGAAATTTCATGTATTGGATATTGTAATTTATGTTGGACTAAATTAAAAAAAACATAAGGTACCAGCCGCGTATTTTCGCATGAAGTTATACATAATTTTACTATACCAATCAATACCAAATGTGACGTTGTTGCGGTCTAAAGTAATGTATGACTTGATGTACAATCACTGCACGCGACTTAGTCCGCGTTAACTTTGGTTTTTAGAGAATCCCACAGGAAACCAACATTTTTTCGGAATAAAAAGTATCCTAAATCTCTATCCAGATAATAAACTATACATGTACCAAATTTCATCTAAATCCTTTCAGTAGTTTTTGCGTGATTGAGTAACAAACATACAAACTGTCACATTTATTGTATCAGTAGGATATTGGAACAATGTTCGCACATATTAATCTTCCATGCCTCTGCCCTTTTAATGCTCAGGTAACATTGTCATATAATAATAATAATAATAAATTCTTTATTTATTTCTTCACATAAGTAGAAAAAAGAAACATTTACAGTAAAGTGCTGAATTACAATATTTCATTACTTAATGTGAAGACTGGTGCTTGCAATAGGATAAACCTGTTCTACAAGACACCATGCCTCCACTCCCAAAACTACATGAACAGAGCAAGCCACCTTTGTACTATTTATGTGATTAATGTATTAATTAATATGAGAAGTGCTAAAGGAACAACTTAAAACACAATAATAAAAAATAAAATAAGAAAGTAATTGTGTGTGTATGTGTGCGTGTGTGAGTGTGTGTGAGCGTATATGTATGTATTGTAAACTGCTTTGTACATTATAGTAATAAGTGTGATTGCTACCGTGTACATTAACTTTAACACGAGATTTAAGAACAAGCTTGCCGTTCCATGTTTCAGACTCCAAAAATCAAGAGGTTCATTTCTGGGATGCAGTATTGCATTGTTTAACAAAGTTCCCCAAGATCTGATTGAGCTTCCACTAACCAAATTTAAATCTCAGAATAAGAATACTCTCATGAATAAGGGCTATTATAAAGTTAATGATTATCTAAATCGTAATGCATGGACATAGTGTTTCTTGTAATTTGTTATTTGATGGATATTAGTCAGTTTTTGTAACAGTAATATGGTACCTATCTAATGCCGCTTCCTATATACTAAATATAAAAATTATTGTAACTATATATCTATATCCTAAATGATGTAATGGAAGGTGACTTCAGAAGTATCTCTGAAGTCATTTTTCAACTAGACGACTCTGTATATATCAATACAGGGAGAAAAAAGCAGCCCTTGCTGAGTTTCTTGCCGGTTCTTCTCAGTACAAGGTCTCCCGCCGTCGTTTTGCGAACCGATGGCGTAGCTTCTTGACCTTCGCAAGTGCTTGTAACAGCCTAGACTGAATAAATGACTTTTCATTTCATTGTTTTTTGCGAGTCCCCAATATTTCGGCCCATGATCACGGTGTAATTAAATGAAACTGTTTGTTGCAGTTATCGATGAAGGAGTGGGACATCCCTTACGACGAGCTGAAGCTGTCGGAAGTGATCGGCAAAGGTCGGTTCGGCACCGTGTACCGGGGAAGCTGGCACGGCGCCGTCGCCGTCAAACTGTTGCACGTGCATTCGCTGGGAGATGACTGTGTGCCGCTCGACACCTTCAAGCATGAGGTAACTGGGTGTAGTCACAGCTGTCGGCAGTGATCGGCAAGGGTCGGGTCGGGTCGGCACCGTGTACCGTCAAACTGTTGCACGTGCACTCGCTGGGAGACGACTGTGTGCCGCTCGACACCTTCAAGCATGAGGTAACTGGGTGTAGTCACAGCTGTCGGCAGTGATCGGCAGTGATCGGCAAGGGTCGGGTCGGGTCGGCACCGTGTACCGTCAAACTGTTGCACGTGCACTCGCTGGGAAACGACTGTGTGCCGCTCGACACCTTCAAGCACGAGGTAACTGGGTGTATTCACAGCTGTCGGCAGTGATCGGCAAGGGTCGGGTCGGGTCGGCACCGTGTACCGTCAAACTGTTGCACGTGCACTCGCTGGGAGACGACTGTGTGCCGCTCGACACCTTCAAGCATGAGGTAACTGGGTGTAGTCACAGCTGTCGGCAGTGATCGGCAAGGGTCGGGTCGGGTCGGCACCGTGTACCGTCAAACTGTTGCACGTGCACTCGCTGGGAGACGACTGTGTGCCGCTCGACACCTTCAAGCATGAGGTAACTGGGTGTAGTCACAGCTGTCGGCAGTGATCGGCAAGGGTCGGGTCGGGTCGGCACCGTGTACCGTCAAACTGTTGCACGTGCACTCGCTGGGAGACGACTGTGTGCCGCTCGACACCTTCAAGCACGAGGTAACTGTGTGTAGTCACAGCTATCGGCAAGGGTCGGGTCGGGTCGGCATTGTGTGCAGTCAAACTGTTGCACGTGCACTCGCTGGGAGACGACTGTGTACCGCTGGATACCTTGAAATGTGAGGTGAAGATAGCCTTGAAACAATTTGTACTTAAATAATATTTAGAAATTAAAATGATATAGGTTATGCCTGTAATTCAAGAATAATATCTTACCTTTAATGTTAATATCAAATTTAATTGCATTGTTTTAATCAATAAACAGGCTTGAGCCGCTGTGAGCTAGGAGCAGGCAGTGACGATAGACTATGCACTATTTCTGTATTTCATAAGGAGCAGCGTACCGCAAACTAATAGTTATCAAAAACCTATAGAAAACCTGGTATTACACGTATATATTTCATATATATTTTATTGTGACGTTCTTGATTTTCTGCAATAGATAAATTATTATACTGATTCACCCTAGGTGGCGACGTTCCGCAAGACCCGTCACGAGAACCTGGTACTGTTCATGGGCGCGTGCATGAAACCGCCGCGTCTGGCCATCGTCACTTCCTTGTGCAAGGGCATGACGCTATATACCCACATCCATTTACGCAAGGACAAATTCACCGCCAACAAAAGTGTGCTGGTCGCGCAGCAGATCTCACAGGTGAGAAGACAATCTTACTTTCCCCAAGGTTAGGTCCAAGTTTGGCCTCAATATAACACATTGCGCAGACTAGTTCAATAGCCGCAACTCAAGAGAGCGGAGTTCCAATGTCGCGGCCTCGATATGGCTTGAATATTATCGTATGTAGAATGTGCGTGCAAAGCAGGAAAAGATTCTCCGCTAGCAAGCTAGGTCACACTCCACCTCCCTGTGCAAGGGCATGACGCTCTAAACCCACATGAAGGCGTGAAGAAGCATTTTGGCAGGCCGCAAAAGTGAGGACGGTGTGACATTTTATAATTGCTGTACCAGCTATCTTCGCGTTTGGACTCTATCACCACTTAACATCAGGTGGGGTAGAGTCATTTGCCTAACTGGCTATAAAAAAAATCTACGTAAGGACAAATTTACAGCCAACAAGATTGTGCTCGTCGTGCAGCAGATCTGACAGGTGAGAATATAATCTTGCATTCGCCAAGGTTAGGTCCAAGTATGGCCCCAACATTACTCATTGCGCAGACTAGTTCAATTGCCGCAGCTGATTTTACAGGTGGGATGAAATCTTACCTTACTCAAGTGGACGGAGTTCCAATGTCGAGGCCTCGATTTGGGTCCAAGTTTGGCTTGAATATAATTGTATGTAGAATGCAGGGCCCGATCCAAAAGTGAGCGAGCAGGGTATTTGCCCAGAGCGGCAAAAATTAGGGGCGGTAAAATTTGCTTAGGGTCTGCCGTAAAGTACTTCACTAAAGGGCGGCAAAAATGTTTGCACTAAGCGGCAAATTTTCTAGATCGGGCTCTGGTAGAATATGCGTGCTATGCAAGAAAAGATTCTTCGCTAGCAAGCTAGCTCTCACTTCACCTCCCTGTGCAAGGACATGACGCTCTATACCCACATCCATTTACGCAAGGACAAAATTCACCGCCAACAAGAGTGCTCGTCGCGCATCAGATCTCACAGGTGAGAAGATAATCTTGCATTCCCCAAGGTTAGGTCCATGTTTGGCCTCAATATAACACATTGCGCAGACTAGTTCAATCACCGCAGCCGATCTCAGATCATCGAAGTCATTCACGCAAGCCGCGGCGTTCTGGGTAAATCTGTCTGGAAACCGTGAACATCTTTCAGTATATACATCCTTGATACTGTATTAACTGCACGGAAGCGGCTAGATATGCTCGTCGCTACGCACACACACTGCTGCTTCAGTACAATCTCACATTAAAGTTACGCAGTTATTTCGTGAAATATGAGTTGTTTTCTTAGCGTGATTTATTTGCATTGCTCTATTTATCCGTATAAATAATCAAAGTATAAAATAAGGAGCTGGCGAACAAAACGGTTTAATTATGCATCAGTACCCCTAGCACGAACCAATATCGAATTGGAATAGTATGCAAACCGAAATGTCAATGTCAAATTTTGTATGGAAACTTAAACAGCAGCGCCACTTTGGACGTAACGGAACTAAAAATCAGTACACATTTGACAATGACATTTCGGACTCGCAAACGTTACGAATTCGATTTTGGTTCGTGCTAGGGGTACTGGTCATACAACTTTTTTTTACAGTCCGTAGGTTTCGGGCCCGTTGAATTTGAATCTCAAATAATTTTCTATCGAAACCGCCTTAAACAGTGTTATAATTACTAAATTCATAAATTAAAAACATTGCCAAAAACTCACTGGAGGTAAGTCATTCAGTTTTATACAGCTCCAGTAAAATTTATTTTTTGTATTTATACCGTTTTGTTTGCCAACTCCTCAAATATAATAATAATAATGGAAGCTGCTAATTATATCGAATTTTGCAGGGTATGGGGTACCTGCACGCGCGCGGCATAATCCACAAGGATCTCAAGACTAAGAACATATTCTTGGAGAACGGCAAGGTGGTCATCACTGACTTCGGCCTCTTCAGCGTCACCAAGCTGTGCTTCGGTAACAAGTGAGTAAGATACATCATCATCATCATAAGCCTATTAATGCCCCCACAGCTGGAGCACAGGCCTTCTCTACGGGTGGCATGCGGAGATTAGGCCATGACCCACCACACGGGCCCAGTTCGGATTAATGGGTGCTAACGGCTGCATATGCTACTGGGATCAACGACTCATCATGCCTTCCGAAATGCACTACACACTGATGAAATTAATAAGTCTAGAAAGAATAAAGGTAATGGTGAAGTACATAGGTATTAACTTTTGGCCCCGTGATTGCTTCGTCTCTATTTCACACATCTGGCCAATTAGTTTTATGTTAGACAAGGAACGATATACTTTTCTTTTTCTTTAGAGTATGATGATAAGAATAATATTAATGTAAAATTTACAAATTATCATATGAAGAGCTGGCATTACACTAACATAGTCGAGAGCAGCCTGGGTATTGCTTGGCTGAAATTTTCAGATTTCTAATATAAGTAGGTTATTTTTAATTGGTGAAGCTGATATCTATACTAATCTATCTGTCTGTCTATCTATTAACTCTTCACGCTTAAACTGTTGAACTGGTTTAGATGAAATTTGGTATAGAGTCCCGGGAAAGGACATAGGAAAGTTTTTATCCCTAAAATAATTCTTGAATGGGGTGGCAGTTTGTATAGGTAACCAATTTTTCCACGCAGATGATAGTCGAGGGTGCACTTAATAGTATTAATTATGTTTATTCGTCCGCCAGTGCCCGGGGAGACAGCCTGGGCATCCCGGCGGGCTGGCTATGTTACCTGGCGCCCGAACTGGTACGCGCGCTGAGGCCGCACGCCTCGCTGCACCTGCCCTTCTCTAAGGCCACGGACGTGTACGCGTTCGGGTGAGTATAGCACTACAGTGACGCGGCTCAGTGGCGGCCGGACAGACATCCCGGCGGGCTGGCTGTGTTACCTGGCGCCCGAACTGGTACGCGCGCTGAGGCCGCACGCCTCGCTGCATCTGCCCTTCTCTAAGGCCACGGACGTGTACGCGTTCGGGTGAGTATAGCACTACAGTGACGCGGCTCAGTGGCGGCCGGACAGACATCCCGGCGGGCTGGCTGTGTTACCTGGCGCCCGAACTGGTACGCGCGCTGAGGCCGCACGCCTCGCTGCACCTGCCCTTCTCTAAGGCCACGGACGTGTACGCGTTCGGGTGAGTATAGCACTACAGTGACGCGGCTCAGTGGCGGCCGGACAGACATCCCGGCGGGCTGGCTGTGTTACCTGGCGCCCGAACTGGTACGCGCGCTGAGGCCGCACGCCTCGCTGCACCTGCCCTTCTCTAAGGCCACGGACGTGTACGCGTTCGGGTGAGTATAGCACTACAGTGACGCGGCTCAGTGGCGGCCGGACAGACATCCCGGCGGGCTGGCTGTGTTACCTGGCGCCCGAACTGGTACGCGCGCTGAGGCCGCACGCCTCGCTGCACCTGCCCTTCTCTAAGGCCACGGACGTGTACGCGTTCGGGTGAGTATAGCACTACAGTGACGCGGCTCAGTGGCGGCCGGCGATCCACTCCATGTATCCACTGTGCTCTACTGTTAACAACTGATGAGATTAAAGTAAGAAGTTCAGAGTAAGCGGCCGGAATTAACACAAGGGGTGTGGCTTTTCAACCTAACGCTAACCTAACGCTAGACCTCGCACATCTTAAGCCACTCAGCAAAAATTAAGAGAGTTTTGAGTTACTTGGACAGAATTCAACTATAGGGTTCAGATATACGTTTCAGCGGCATATCTGAATGCAGTATGTTTCCATTTCTTTATTTTCTATGGAGTACAGAAACATTAAATAAACAAGTTTTAACGGAAAAGATGCACTGATCTATTTATTTATTGACATGTTATTTACTTTGTCGAGCTACCTTCGAAAGACTTTTATTAAGCGTTCGGATATTTCATTGGAAGATCTTTCATCCTTTTCATTTATTTAATGAGTGGTGTGCGTGAAAACCTAAGAATCAAAATATCCTAAGAACAAGAAAATTGTGTTTAATGTGACGTATCTATTTGATTATTTAGCACGGTATGGTACGAGCTGCTGTGCGGCGAGTTCCCGTTCAAGGGCCAACCTCCCGAGGCCATCATCTGGCAGGTGGGCCGCGGGGTGAAGCAATCCTTGGCTAACATGCAGGCCTCCAGGGACATCAAGGTTTTTTTATTATTTTATTTTTCATCTATATATATAAAACTCAAAGGTAACTGACTGACATAGTGATCTATCAACGCACAGCCCAAACCACTGGACGGATCGGGCTGAAATTTGGCATGCAGGTAGATGTTATGACGTAGGCATCCGCTAAGAAAGGATTTTGATCAACTCTTTCCCCAAGGGGATAAAATAGGAAATGAAAGTTTGTATGAAACTTTGTCAATTTTAAACCGATCGGGCTGAGACTTTGCATGTAGGTAGAAGTATAAGAAGAATCATAGATGAATGCCATTGTGTATAATACAAGCCTGAGAACATAAACTGTAGTCTACCTTCAGCTCTACACCGAAGCGAAGCGACGGCGGGCTGCTAGTAGATAAAAGGAAAAATATATTTTCGTCATGTAAAATATGAGGAGCTCGATGACGCGTTCGGCTGCGATCGTTGAAGTGCAGCACCTTTCGCAGTGGTCGGTCATTGGATGGGTGACCAAAAATGTACTATCTCGAGCTCTTCCGTGCTTCGAAAGGCAAGTTAAGCCGTAGGTTATAATAATAATTTATATTCCTTTTCCCTAACAAGATGATCGATTGGAGTCTCCATTTAAGCCAATTTAGCCTGTGTTTCGAGGCTCCGCTCTTCCACAACTAATAATATAATTTACAAAATGCAGTATTAGGTTACAGTCATGCCAAAAGAACATGCAAAAATCTAAAATGAAGATTAAAATCATCATCCGCCTGTTCATGTCCCCACTGCTGGGGGACAGGCCTTCCCTATGGATGGAGAGACTGGGCCATGATCCGTCACGCGGGCCCATTGTGGATTGGAGAATACAAACGACTGCAGATTCAGGCGCCAACGGCTTTACGGAGGAGCTTGATATAATGAGTTGTTGGTCACCCATCCAATGATCGACCATTCCGAAAGTTGCTTAACTTTCACAATCGCGAGCTGAATGCGCTATCGTCCTGCAACTTCGAGCTCCTCAAAAGATAAAAATACAGCGGACTTATCGGACAACTCCAATACGTACTTTTGATGGTGGATGGTTAATAATTTACTAGAATCCTGGTGGGGGCAGATGTTTGTGTGATGAACACGAGCATTTGTACTTCAGTCATGGATGTTTAATATGTATTTTTATATAAATATGCTTATATATGTAAAGTATATGTATTCTATCCGTTACCCTAGTATCCCATAACACGAGCCTTATAGTGCTTACTTTGGGGCTAGATATTTATTATTATTATGATAGTGACGAAAATTTGAACTAACGCTGCCGACTTTGCAAACGTCATATTTTGTATATAATTTATGTAGACAGAGGCGCCCTCTCACTCACTCACATTCATGCAGTTCCTTGTCGCACTGTACACTTAACCGTATTCGTTCCCACATAGGGTTACCATCCGTCCGGATTAGTCCGGACATGTCCGGACTTTTAGACTATAGTCCAGACTTAGTTTGGATCTTTAAAATAGTCCAGATTTTTTAAATTACATTGAATATGAATAATTAAAGTACATATTGATTAAAATACCATACCATTGTAACTAAGTGAGTAATGGTACCATTTTGTGACTTAAAACTTGCTATTAAATTGGCAAAACATTGGCCAAATAACAGTTATGGTAGCAGAGGGTACATTATTAGTTTGAGGTAAAAATAGCAAAAATACGTAAATAAAACCAGAAAAGCATCATCATCATCATCACCAGCCTATTAATGCCCCCACTGCTGGGGCACAGGCCTTCCCTTTGGATGGAATAGGGATATTCGGCCAAGACCCACCACGCGGGCCCAGTGCGGATTGGCGGGTGCTAACGACTGCAGTTGCAGCCGGGACCAACGGCTTAACGTGCCTTCCGAAGCACGGAGGAGCTCGAGATAGTAAATTTTTGATCACCCATCCAATGAGCGACCACTGCGAAAGTCTAGTCGATTTTTGTCAGGACTTTTGAAATTCCTAAACGGCAACTCTATTCCCACAGGATATCCTGATGTTGTGTTGGGCGTATCGATCGAGCGAGCGGCCCGACTTCCCCCGACTGCTGAGCACGTTACAGAAACTGCCACGCAAGAGACTAGCGCGCTCTCCCTCGCACCCCGTACACCTGTCCCGCTCCGCCGACTCGGTGTTCTGAGGGCGGTTCGGCCTCGCGTTCTCCGCGCACCTGCGAGCGACTAGCGCCCTCTCACTCGCGCCGCATACGCTTGTCGCACTCTTGCACAGCACTCTGCAGAACCTGTGAGAAATCGAACGCGAAGTAAGACAGAACAACTGCACTGCGTAAGTGTTAAAGACTTTGTTTGATCAGCCAAACGGTTGGGAATCGTCCGGATGGAGAAGTAACGATGTCTCCCGACAAACGAACGTGAACTTTCCGTTCTGGAAATTGTATGCGTGGCTTTTTAATATCGTTGAGAGGGGCTCGTGATCACTTTCGCTGGCAAGGGGATTGTAGTTCTCAGTCACAGCCATCTGCAAAACCTGTGAGAGATCGTGCAACCTCTGAACGCGGAGTGAGACAGAACAAGACGGCACTGCAACTCTGTTACCAGCCCTGGCCTTGCCAGGTGGTCGGGAATTGCCTGGATCCTCTCGCCATTTCATGTGTTGTCCAGGCTCCCGACAAACTAACATGAACGATACGTGGGTTTTTAATATCGTTGCGAGGGGCTCATGAACTATCCCTTAGTGTCACTTTAGCCAGCGTGGGGGGAAAGGGGGTATAATTCTCCCGATCCCCTGTCGCGCTCTTAAACAGTACCCTGTAAAACTAGCAAAAAAACAGACTGTTGTCATGTTTACAAATAGCAAATACGAATAGCCAAGTGCCTGCATGAGAGTTTGCGCATAAGGCTACAGTTAGCTAGCTCTCCCTCCCACCTGTTACACCTGTCCTGCTTTTCCAATAATTATAGTTTGAAACGTCTAAGTTCTTGTACGAAATATTTGTTTTTCTCCATGTTCGATAATTATACTGCGTATAAATCTACTAAAAAGTGGTGTCTTGTTGCGACCGTCTCATATCGTTACGAGTTTATTGCACTAAAATATGCAAGTCAATTCTGTATTGTAGTCGCGGGGCGGTGAAATATAATCAGAGCATTCGAATTTAATACTCTATTTATAATTAATTAGATACGGCTCAGGTGTCCTAGTCATCTCGTTTTCTTCATTCGGACTTATGGTGTACACCCTGGCAAACTTGAGCATCGACCATAGACAAGGGAGCCTGTAATTTTAGTCTGTGGTTTTGCTCAAGAAATTTGCCGCTTCCTATATGTTCGTTTTATCCTGGTTTCATTACGACGCACTATAACAGTGCAAGATCAAATATGAACGAAATCCAATTTTGAATTTGTCACTATACTGAAGTTATAGTGGCTGAAATATCAAAATTTGCTGAGACATCATGGGGGGCAAATATTGACAGCACATCTCTTTTCTTCCTATCTTATTATTCAAGTTTTTTCTCACCAAAAACTGACAGTATTGTTGCCCCATCGTGTACAATCATAATTTTGTAAAATAATATTTTATATTTTGAAATTAGCAGTTTCTCCCTTACCATCGTTACTTAGCGTAACAATTAATAAAAAAAAAACTATATTAAAATAAAAACGACTTATAATTTTGTTCATAATTATATTGTGTAGGTAATAAACTACTATTGTAAGTAAAAAACTTTGATCTCTGAGTAACCGATATAGATTAAATTATATTTTCGTATTTAAAAAGGATAAAATGTGAAAAGTTGACTGCTTTGTTGATAATGTAAATTTTGTACAGTGTTACGAATTTTTGCTGTGATTGCATCTTTGGTTGCACTGAACTTTGTTTGAACGGGGGTCACAAACTGTATATATTGTGTAAAGAGATTTTTTAAATATTTTTTGTCTCCTTATTTCTTGTTCACATGTTACAAGCAGTACCCTAAGCACGGACCATTATCGAATTCGAATAGTTTGCGAGTCCAAAATGTCATTTATTTATTTAATTCTAGACCAAAATCCACAGCATTTTCTTAATATAATACAGGTTTTACATCTTAATGCCAATTACGGATTTTCATTTTTTAGTTATAGCATAATAGTTTATAAAACCCTCTACCAAACAAGGGCGAGATGTGTGCAATGCGCGCGCGCCATTTATGTGTGTGTGTATGTGTGTGCGTGTGTGTGTGTGTATGTGTCATTGTCACATTTTATATGGAAACTTGAACAGCAGCGCCACAAAGGACGTAACGAAAACTAAAAATTAGTACACATTTGACACTGACTTTTCGTACTCGCAAACTATTCGAATTCGATAATGGTTCGTGCTAGGGGTACAGGATTGATATAAGTGAAGTAAAAAGCTATTTAAGTTTGTATGTAGTTTAATAAAAAAAAAACATCACAAAGCTCAGTGCATATCAATATTTAAAAAGTCTAGTAATAAGTCAAAAGTTGACATTTTAATATCTACTATTACAGTAACATTATTTCTGTATTGAAATTGTATCGATTTTAATTAAATTAAAACTTTCAATGACCAATAAGATTGAGTTATGTCTACACAAACAACATCTTCGCCTACTTTAATATCACAGTGGAGTATTTTGTAAATATATATTTTAAAAAATAACATTCCTTCTGTAGGTTGTTGAAGTTTTTGAACTTTGATAATGAATATATTAAAACTGTAAGTATGTACTGTAAATTTGTTTGTATACTTTTTAAAGTTACCACTTTCTATAATTATGAATTTCTAAAGAGGCTTAAATATTAGATCTAGGCTGGTTAAAAACGCAAGCATTGTTTATTTATTTGGTATGACTCTTCAGCTATTAAATACACTGGACGGAGAAAAATCGGGCCACTTTCGTGGAATTCCCATTTAATTTTCTCAAAAAATTAAAACCTGCCACCTATCAAAGTTATATCTACAGAAAAAGTGTTTCGTGATGATTAAAATGAACAGGAATTTATTAAGATTTTTCTCGTTTTCCAATTGTTTTAATCGGTAGTAAAAAAATACACACGTCTGAGAAAACTATGGAAAATAACTGAAGAAATTACAAAAAGTATCAGACTCCAAAAAAAATATGGAAAATCTCAACATTCAAAAATTTGAAAATTGTTAGCATTGCGTTTCTTCAATTAAATTTTTGGTCATTATGGATGCGTCTCATTACAATGCGATTCAACTAAGAATAGGACCGACTGGGCGCCATATTGTGACGTCATAGCTGTCAATTCAAACCAGTTAGGTAGAGTGAGCAAAAAAGATTTTCTTTAATAAAACTTATTTACCAAGATTAAGTAAGAAAAAATATCAGATTTTTAATAATAAGTATTATTTTATTTATTAAGACTGAGTGAGAACAATCATTAATCAGAATCTAGCTCTTTAATTCCGCTCATCTCGGAACTACCATCGGAGAAGTCTGCATCATCACTGATGCTTTAGGTTATGAAATAAAATATCGATAATTGTAGGTTTTAAAACGACAGTTTTCTTTAAAATAGGAACGGTCTTTTTATTACCTGTATTTATAATAAAACAAAAGTTCTTATATTTCCCTTTTCCAGTACTCATTTTCTATACGTTTCATGTGATTTATTTCCTTCTTTTGTTTACCAAAGTTTGGTATTTATTATAAGAATAGGTCAGTCCTAAAAAAAGTTTTTTTTGCAAACCGTACTTTTCGAGCGACGTTTGACAGACGGAGGTCATTGGCTTTCCGATTCTTATTTGAATCGCATAGTACGTGACGATTCTGCCAATGTCTGGGTTAAAGGAAACAAGGTATATGCTGAGCCTGTACGGTTTTGTTGAAGCTGTGCAGTATGTCGACTGCATACTCTGTGAATATCTGTAACAACACATAGAATTGCGTTTCTTGCTTGATTACAAAGTAAATTGACGGTACTTGCAATATTTTTTTACTCATATTAATGCTTATGAAACGTATTTTCTGTAGATATAACTTTGATAGTGGTTTTATACTTATTGAGAAAATTAAATTACGTGTTCTAAGGTACTAGCGAGTGGCCCAGTTTATTTGCGGTGAAGTGTTGTTTTTTGATGCATTTATTGCAACATTAACATTTTTGTGTTGATTTAACAAAATTCTCTCTGAAAAGGGTAACATTACACTTTTTGTGAAACTCTTGTTTTTTTTATTGTTTTTCTTTATTTTTTATGTAATAATTAATTTTTTTAGTAATCGTTCTGGTCACTCAACTCCTATTAAATTAATAGTTAGTTGTTGTAAATTAATGAATAAAGAAAACTTTGCTGATGTGACATTGCCACAATAATATGTATATAAAGAAGTGGCATTGCTTGATCAATTGTATTATAAATGAAATATTTATTCAAATAGGACATGAAAAGTGGTTGCAGTCAGTTGTAGTTTTACGTATATATTGAGATTTCAAGTGAATTAGGTTAGTTGCATTTGCCAAAATAAATCTCCGATCACTGTTTGTTGTTGTTTTATTTATATAGAAAAATGGTACTCACCTGTTTGGTAATAGAAGTAAATGTAATACCTATAAAGAAAACTTTACTGGAAAAAAATCCACGCAGACCAGGCAGCAGACAAGACTCGAACCCGCACTCTTCGCTATCCGGGCGAATGCATTGACTATTATGCTACCGCGGCCTTGACGGCCGTGTCGAATTTTCTCTAGCCTTAGGCTGCAATCTTTTCTAGTAAAGTTTTCTTTAGATTTAAACATCTAGCAGTTAAATGCTTAAAAAAAACTCTTTTCCCATAATGAAATTAAAATCAGCGGAAGTCTCAGATCACAGAACATATAGCAGTTGGAGCGCACGGTACACGCAATGCATGCCACCCGAATAAATACGGAGTTAAAAGTAAATGCCTTTTTTGTCTTTATGAGTAGTTTTTACGATGTATGACCAAGGCGGCACAGTCTTGATAAAAACCTAATATTCAAGGGACGTATTTACAACACTATGCGTTGTGGTGTACTGACGCGAGTTGATAGTCGCTTTCGACTTCGTATTTGCTATGGTGCGACGTATTGCGTGTTCTGTGCGCTCCATCTGCCTTTTGTTCTGTAATCTGAGGATGAAGCAGTGAAAGTTACACCAAGTTTGAGAAGTGTTTATGTTATTTTGTTTAATATAGCGCCTAACACGTCGTCAAACAGGCCCTGCCAGAATACCAGCGCTGATACAGAGAGAATATTTTCTCATTGTATCAGCATAAGCTGAGGCAGGGTCCTGACTGGCCATTTTAAATGATTAATAATGATTAATTTTTGTTCTTAGGTTAAGTTTCTTTTTTATATTTTTTTTTTCCTCTGTTTCTTATACTAGATGGCCATTAAAGATTTTTCATTTCATATTTATAGATAAGGAAAAATAAAGAATGCTTAACTTGTACATATAACTATATTTTCATTATGATACATGCCCTGTGAGTAAACAAGCTATATTATTACACAAACTTTTGATTTCATCATTGCTCATATATTCACAACCTAGAATAGCATTACCTACTGCTATGGTCTCCCTCATTGTATTTGCTTTTATCCAAATTCTTCCATTCATTCCAACGGCCAATTCAAACGGCCATTCATTTTTTAATGATTCTAATAAAGGACAGCCAGGATTTAAGACTTTTCTGACAAGATTTAATGAGCATTTGAAAACAAATCCATCATTCAAAACTCCAAGCCTTCCTTTCTTTCCATGTGAGTCTACACAAACAATTTCCGGTTCCATATCTTTGCTGGCAATAAGCATTTTTGCATACAATACATCACCTACTTGTACTTCAGGTCTATTTTTCTTTGTAGCGCCTTCGAAAGAGAGGTAGGACAATGTTGCTGAGCAACTTCCACCTACATCCACACGAAATGTTTCTCCAGCCTTCTGCACCACGATTCCTATGACATTCTCTCCTCGAGATGGTACGTAACGTTTTTGGTAGCTATCCACCCAATACGTGTTTAGTGCACGTTTTTTGAGAACTCCGGCTTTAGTAACGTAAACTTTGTCGATTTCTTTACGAAGCCCTGGTCCAAGAATTACTTTGCTTTTCTCGCCGGCTGTAACAATTCCTTCACAGTAATCCCCAGGCATAACAACATCATCAACGGAGACCTTCATATTCGATGCAAGCAAGAAACTTATATTCTATCCAATAGAATAAGTTCGGTGGTGATGGCTCCTCCGCAGTGCAGGTTATTTTTTCTAACAATATTTACAATTTTACATTCTTCCAATTCCGCAAACGCCGCAACACAGATAGTATATATAATGGCTCGCACGATTTGTGCATTGGCCACGAGCCCACGACTGGGTAAAAGGTATGGAAACCAAAATAATTAAGTAAAAAGGCAAAAGGTTGTGAAATGGTATTTGAAAGGATTAGGATCAGGTAGGTACGTTAATATATGAAAATAATTTAATTGCTTTTTTATATTGTTTTACTGTGAATTCACATAAAATACTTTTACTGTTACAGACATTATTTGACACAGTATTTATACAAAGCATTGATAACGAGAAAAGCTCATTTTCTATGAGAACTATTATGGATACGCCAGGTCGACGCCAGCTAAGAAGGTTTGGTTCAATATCTTTGGTCCTTTAAGAGTATTGATTATGAAATTTTGTGAAGCCGGTGTCCGTGATGCTAGCGTACCCACGATCAATATACGGTTTTTCGTTATGCCATTAAATACTGCGTAAATAGTGCCAAATTAGTGTAAAAATAAAAAAAATAGTGCCTCTTTAATTTAAGAAATAAAGACCATTTTTACTGTGTACGCTACCATGACGTCAAGCTAGCGTACCCATGGCCGACCCCAAGAACGGCATATATTTAAGCAACGAAATTGACACACAAAAATAGTTCGCAAATAGTGGCCTGGCTTTACAAAATTTCATAATCAATACTCTTAAAGTACCAAAGATATTGAACTAAACATTCTTAGCTGGCGTCAACCTGGCGTACCCATAATAGTTCTCATAGAAAATAAACTTTTATCGTTATCAATTCTATATGTATAAATAGTGTGTCAAATAGTGCCTCTAACAGTAAAAGTATTTTATGTGAATCCGCATCACAACAATACATAAAAAGAATCTTAAATTCTAGGAATAAATGTATTGTAGTACAGTTGCACACAAAATTAATTTATGCACTAAGAAATTATCTATATATGTATTTTTACTAAAATAAATAGGTACTTTTTATAAAAAGATATTTTATTTCAATTCGAATTCACCAATCATAAATTCATATAAGAATTTCAACCTACCTACTAAGTACCTTACTTACCTACTATACTACGAAAATATTATCATTTCTGTACATGACTGTACTTTATATATAAAAATAATTTAATTGCTTTTTTTATATTGTTTTACTGTGAATTCACATAAAATACTTTTACTGTTAGAGGCACTATTTGACACACTATTTATACATATAGAATTGATAACGATAAAAGTTCATTTTCTATGAGAACTATTATGGGTACGCCAGGTTGACGCCAGCTAAGAATGTTTAGTTCAATATCTTTGGTACTTTAAGAGTATTGATTATGAAATTTTGTAAAGTCAGGGCACTATTTGCGAACTATTTTTGTGTGTCAATTTCGTTGCTTAAATATATGCCGTTCTTGGGGTCGGCCATGGGTACGCTAGCTTGACGTCATGGTAGCGTACACAGTAAAAATGGTCTTTATTTCTTAAATTAAAGAGGCACTATTTTTTTTATTTTTACACTAATTTGGCACTATTTACGCAATATTTAATGGCATAACGAAAAACCGTATATTGATCGTGGGTACGCTAGCATCACGGACACGTGAAGCCGGGCATTATTTGCGAACTATTTTGTGTGTCAATTTCGTTGCTTAAATATATGCCGTTTTTGGAGACGGCCGTGGAGACGCTAGCTTGACGTCATGCTAGCTTACACAGTAAAAATGGTCTTTATTTCTTAAAGGCACTGTTTTTCTTTATTTTTACACTAATTTGGCACTATTTACGCAGTATTGAATGGCATAACGAAAAACCGTATATTGATCGTGTGTACGCTAGCATCACGGACACAAAATCCTGCGTCCGCCTCTGTTGGAATTAGGCGATTATCACACGGCACCGCGCACCGCCGCGGAGGGCGGTGGCGGTAACGCGGATTTCGCAGCGGTGCACCGCGCGGTAAGGCGGTTTACGCGCCTGTACGCGCGGATGGATTTAACGCGGTTTTGACCAGTTTGATTGCAGACGCTGGCAAGAATGGACGCTGAAGTGGTGGCAGCAATCTGGCTTTTATGGCGCAGAAAGAAAAAAATAAGAAGATACTGGGTTCATCCATTTTTAGGAAGCAGAACTCTAAATGGGTCATTCATGTTATTCTATAAAAGTTTGAGAAAATACGAAGATAAATTTTTTAATTATACGCGAATGTCCACTTCTTCATTTGATTATTTGTTAGCAAAAATAAGGAAAGCAATTTCTGGAGTAAATACAAACATGCGTCCTTGTATTTCGCCGGAAGAAAAGCTTCTTGTGACCTTGAGGTAAGTGAAGAAGAAAATACACATTTTTCCATTTTATATTTTTATTACTTTAAATAATCAGTCTGTCAATTATTCTTGTTATTAAATCTACCTCAGTCTTTTATGAAGATTTTTTAGATTTTTGTACCTACATCTAATTATAATTAGTAATTTTAATTTCTTATTTAGTAATCAAATCACAGTTATTTTTTCTTTATCACAGGATCAACCACGTATTTATGTGTCTACCTTAAACTAATTAACATAATCACAGCTTTCTATCTTCCGCACAATGAGCATAATTTCTTATTTAGTAATCAAATTACAGTTATTTTTTCTTTATCACAGGATCAATCACGTATTTATGTATCTACCTTAAACTAATTAAAATAATCACAGCTTTCTATCTTCCGCACAATGAGCATAATTTCTTATTTAGTAATCAAATCACAGTAATTTTTTCTTTATCACAGGATCAATCACGTACATATTTAAGTATCTACCTTAAACTAATTAACATAATCACAGCTTTCTATCTTCCGTGCAATGAGCACACTATGGTTTTAAAACAGTGATAAAATCTCCGATTCATCAGTAATGTTTGAATTAACTGTGGTGGGTGTTGCTGGTATTGCTTCTATAATATTATCTGCAATTCCGGCAGCAGAGGTCCCTTGCTCGTTTTGCTGGTGCGCATATGATGAAGTATTCGTATAATAACCCTGATTTTGATTATTAGTATAGGACATTGTAGCATCGCCTGACTCTTTATAATTGTACATTTCATCCTGAGCTTGTGATATGTATCTAATTATATTTATTTTCACGACAGATTTTAATCGATCGGGTACTTTCTTGAAATCAGGCACCAAAGAGAGCATAAACTGTCGGTCAGGATCTTCTTCGTTTTCTTTTTTGTTTATTGAAGTTTTCAGGGTATCGATTAACTCTCGCGTCATTTCTTCAGCAGGATCAGATTTCTTTCTTTTAGTACCTAAGGCTCTGTCTTCATATGGTCCTCCAACTGATTCATTACCTTCCCCGACTGATTCATCGTCTCCTGCAGACAAACTGTTCTGAGTTTTATTTTTTCCAGCGTAAGGTTTTAAAAATAACAATTGATTATAAAATCTATACTGATTATTTTTCTTAGCTCCTGCTCCGCTCTTTATATTTTTTTGTCTTCGACACTCCTTCATGAAGGCGTCTCGAAGGTTTTTCCACTTTATTTGTAGCGAGCGCCCTGTAATAAAAAAATATATTGTTTCAGATACCTGGCCACGGGGTGTTCCTTTACCGATCTGCATTACAGTTATCGACTTGGTATATCAACCATACGAAATATTGTAGAAAAAGTGTGTGATGCATTATGGGATGTAATGAAAATGGAGTGTTTTCCCGAACCTACAACTGAAATGTGGTTAAATGTAGCTGAAGGATTTAAGTCAAGAGCCAATTTTCCTCATGTTTTAGGTGCCTTAGACGGTAAACATGTGCGTGTTATCAAACCATCTCTAACTGGATCGCTGTACTACAATTATAAGCATTATTTTTCCATCTTACTGCTGGCTATTTGTGATTCTAATTACAAATTTATATACGTTGACATAGGTGCTTATGGGAAATGCAGTGATTCTACAGTTTTTCGTGATTCCATTTTTTACCAAAAACTTCAAGATGGAACTCTTAATATACCAAACTCCTCTGCAATTACTGGTATCACCAATTCCGTACCATATTTTTTTATCGGAGATGAAGCTTTCAATATCTCAAACAATGTTCTACGACCCTATGCAGGACATCACTTAAATTACACTAAAAGAGTTTTTAATTATCGCTTGAGCAGGGCACGTAGATATATTGAGTGTGCATTCGGTATTTTAACACATAAATGGCGTATATTTCAACGCCCTTTGAACGTAAACAGAATTTTATCTATAAAAATTATTAAAGCATGTTGTATACTTCATAATTTTGTTAGGGAAAGACATGGCGTTGATTTTAAGGATATTTTATATACAAACAATGAGACGGAGGGAATAGTTAATATACCGATAGACAATAATTGCAGAGGAAGCACAAGTGCTGCAGCGATCCGTAATAATTTAGCTGATTATTTTGTAAATGAGAACCCGCTACCATGGCAAAGTCAATATGCTTAAATTTAAAATAAATATTTTTTTAAAACTTACCGAGTTCTTTCTTTTCTTTGTCAGAAGTTTGTCCTGGCTCCAAATATAAGGTAACAATTTCTTCCCATTGTTTCAGTTTTAGGAGTCTATCACTATATTGTGTGCTTTTCATGTCCCAGATAGCAGAGCGACTTTGAATCTCTGAAATAAACTTTTCGACATCGAAATCCATTTTTAAATTGCGACACGTCTTGCTTCCACGATGTTCCGCGCGGTTATGCGGTGCCACGTGTGTGAGGTGCCGCCCCTCCGCGCTGCCGTCCGCGCGGAGAGGCGGTGGCGGCGAGAGCACCGCTCGACCGCGCGGTCGGGCGCTGAACATGTGTTTAGTATCAACGGATTTAGTAGAGGCTTATGCGACATGAGATCCGCTTCACCGCCTGCCGCGGCGGTGCGCGGTGCC